GTATGCACATTTTTATAGCCCTTTGGCCATAGTTCCAAATTGCTCTCCAAAATGGGAGAATTATTAGTTCTTAAGATTACAGCTGAAATGCTTTAATCCTCATCTTGATCATTAAAAGTTTTCCAAAGTTAAGAATAATAGCAACAGAGTTTAAAAGTCCTTTACATGCAATCTCTCATTTAAGCCTTAAAAATAATCCCGGTAAGAGAGGCATTAAAAGGTATTATTTTCCCCAATTTATAAATGTGGAAATGGAATCTCAGAGGAACACAAATTTAGAGCTGGGGGGCCTTCTAAGGCCATGTAGCCCAAGCGTCTCATTTTATAGATGCGGAAAATGGGGCTATGGATGTTAACCTGTTAGAACACGTGCCCTGGGACAGGTTCTAAGTATCAGAAATGGGTTTTGAACCTGGTCTCCTGACTCCAGAGCCACTGTGATTTCTATTATCCCACAGGGTTATATAAAAGAGCTAGCAAGTCAAAAAGTATTTATTAAACACTTATAATGTGTCAAGGACATAATGTTAAGCACTAGGAAATACAAAGAACAGCAAAAACAAATGTCACAAGAGGGATATGAACCTAAGTTTTCTTAACTCCAATTCTAGTATGGCTTCCCAAAGTTGCATCCAAAATACAATTTACTTTCCACTGACTTGAGCTCTTAAAAATAATGCAAGGGTCAGAGATTGAAGCATGACAAACTAAAGTCTAGAGGTGTTATCTTAAGCTTTGGAAGTTAGGGAAACAGTGACAACTCCCACTGATGCTTTCATGGGCAGAAACTAATCCCAAAAGAGGGTAAAGGGGGCTATGCATTTCTTAGTTCTGTCATAGTGGTGAAGAAGCTCAGGTGATATTATTCTTTATTTGATTTAACCATCAAAATACTCTTTAAAGTTATTACAGCTTCTTCTAAGAAACAAACGGATACAACATCAGGAAGCTGCCAGATGGCACCATTCTCTTGATTCTGCTATTGAAGAAGAACCTAGGGCTTTTGTTCTAGTGGATGTTGTGAATTTGTTGGGGGATGACTAAGTCTGAGAGGGAAAAAAGAAATAATAGAGGAAGTCTCCATAGTTAGGTTTTTTTTAGCAAAACACTAACTTATCTATATAAAAACTGAAAAATGAAAATGAGTTACTTTCACTATGGTACCATTTAAAGAGTAAAGTGTTTAGTGTTTTGTTTTGTTTTTTGAGAAAATAACAAAAATTAAAATATATTGACTGGGGCACACAAAAGAGAAAGTACTTTCTTCATATGAATGTCCTCAGCACCTACTATCTACATTATAGGGACTGAGAAAGGACTTCAAACAATTTCTGTTAGTAAGTTTTAGGCTGCCTATGCTGTGTATCTGCTTTCTTTATTTTAATCTTATTCTATTAATAGTTACAAGTTAAAAAAAATAGTTACAAGTTGAAAGACTTTATGTAAAAGATATATCAAATTAACAGTACAACTTTTTTAGTTCTTAAGAATATTTAAAAACAAAATAAATGAATCATTTGGCTAAGGAACTAAAAGCAAATCTTTTATACATGTAAACTTGAACATACTATTTTAGGAAGTTTTTTTTTAAAATGTGGGTTTTCAAATTATTTAGTAAATCTGAAAACACTTACTACAACCATTGCTATAGTGAAATTTGGCCTGAGTTGGTAGTCACACCAAGGACTTGAAGCTCCATAACTGTCTTTGTATATTCCACGTTTGTGAACTAAATCAGGATGCTTTTCATTAGGATCTGATGGGTCTTCTGAAACATGGAACAGCTTTTCGAAGTGGTCTTGTATTTTCCTGTTCCACTCCTCATATGAGATTTTTACATCTTTTCCTGCAACATGGTAAAACATACTGTAGAACATTCAAAACATCCCATATGCAAACTGATATACAAGTAAAATCTAATGAATAAGGCTTGGGCCCTGAATAAGAAAACTGTATATTTCATCACTAGCTTATTAATTGGCTCACAGGCACAGGGAAAAACTTATTTGACAATATTGACCTTTTACGAAATGGTAATAGGATGTTTTACATCTCTCAATTCAAAGGCGCTGTATAATTACAAAAGGTATTAATAATGATCAATTATGTTACTACCCTAATAGTAGGAAAATGATAAGCCCACATTCATACAGTCTTTTTTTCTACATCCAAAAAAAGTCTAAATTTGCACTCTAAATTCATTACCTCTTTATGTGGAGGTTGGTAGAACATTTCATCGTGAGTCCTCTGAAATCATGTTTGGTTATTACATCAGAGTTCTTAAGTCTTTCAAAGGTCTTTACAATATTGTTATGAATTCCATAGATTGTTCCCCTAGGTTCTGTTCATTTCACTTTGCATCAGTTCATACAAATCTTCCCTGGTTTCTTTGAAATAATCCCCTTCATCTTTTCCTGTTACCCACTAGTATCCCAACACATTAATATGCCATAGCTTATTTGGCCATTCCTCAATTGATGGGTATCCCCTCAGTTTCCAATCCTTTGCCACCACAAAAAGAAAATAATTTTGTACATATGGGTCTTTTTCCTCTTTTTTTGACCTAGTAGTGGTATCAATGGGTCAAAGGGTATGCACAGTTTAATAGCTTTTTGGGCAGTTCCAAATTGCTTTCCAGAACAGCTTAACAAACAGTACATTAACATACCTATTTTCCCATAGTACCTCCAACATCTGTCACTTTCCTTTTTCTGTTAGCTTTAACAATCTGATGAGTGTAAGGAGGGCCTTTAGAGTTGTTTTAATTTTGTTTCTACTAGATTTGGAGCATTTTTTCATATGACTACTGATAGCCTGGACTTTTTCCCTATGAAAAGAGTATATTCATATCCTTTGACAATTTATCACTGGGGAGTGGCTCTTATTTGACTCAGTTCCATATATGTGAGTGCATGTGTGAGTATATACATACATACACATATATGTATATATACATATATAATCTTAGAAATGAGACTTTTATTAGAAAAACTTGCTTTGTGCAAAGAGTTATATAATTCTCTTATAATTTTAGCTGCATTAGTTTTAAAATTAAGCAGATGTTAAGTAATCAAAACTGTTCATTTTATTTTCTGTGATCCTCTTACCCTTTCTTTGGTCATAAACTCTTCCTCAATCCACAGATCTGACAGGTAACTTCTTCCTTGTTCCTCTAATTTATGATGTCACTTTTTAAGTCAAAGTCATATTCCCATTTGGAGCTTATCTTGGTATATACAGCATGAGATGCTGTTCTATACTAGTTTCTACTAAATTGCTTTTCAGTTTTCTCAGAAGTCATTGTCGAATAAAGAGTTCTTATCTCAATAGCTGAAATCTTTGGGTTTATCAAACACAATGATGATTTATGTGGGCTTATTTTATATCCTATAATTATGATTAAGTTGTAAATTGTTTTAATTTTTTTTAGCTGATTCTTTAAAGTGGCATCTCTAGATATGCCACTGTTATCATCTGCAAAGAGTGAGAATTATTTCTTCTTTGCCTATGCTTTTTCCTAATCATTATTGCTAGTATTATTCTAGCATTATATTGAACAGTAATAGTGATAATGGACACCCTTGCTTTACCCCGATATTATCAGAAAGGCTTATTGTTTATCCCTATTATATATGGCTCTTTATTTTAGATAGATACTTACCATATTAAGGAAAGAGTCATTTATTCTTGTGCTTCCTAGTGCTTTTTTTTTTAAGCAGGAATAGGTATCATATCTTGTAAAAAATCTTTTTTTGCATCTATTAATATAATGATTTCTGTTGTTATTAATATTATATTTCTAGTTTTCCTAATATTAAACAACTCTGTATTCCTAGTATAAATTCAATCGAGCCTAGTGTATAATCTTGGTGATATGTTACTTACTAATATTAATAACAATGTTATTACAAGTAATTATACTTGATGATACTATATCTCCTTGTTAATATTTAAATTTTTACATAAAAATTCATTAGGGATATTGGTTTATTATAGTTTTCTTTTTTCTATTTTGACTCTCTGAGGTATGAAGATGATTTCTATCATAGGAGAAATTTGATGAGATGCCATCTTTTCCCATTTTTTATATTTTCCTATTTGTGCAATATTTGAATTAATTGTTTTTCAAATGTCTGAAAGGCTTCACATGTAAATCCATCTAGTCTTGGTTTACTTTTTTCCTTGGAGAGTCCTGTTTGTTCAGTTTCTTTTTCTGAGATTAAGTCTTATTCTATTAATCTGGGTATTTTAAAATACTGTACATATTCATCTCTTTCATTAAGACAGGCAGTTTTACGGCATATAATTGGGCAAAACAGTATTCTTTATTTCTTAATTTGTTGTGAATTCATCTTTTTCATTTTTGGTTTTCCTCTTTTTAACCAAAGTAGCTAATGGTTTTTCTCTTTTATTAATTTTTTCTAAAAAAACCCTCCTAGTTTTAGTGATTAATTCAATTTTTTTCTTTTAATTTCATTAATCTTTTCTTTGATTTTCAGGATTTGTAGTTTGGTGTTTAATTAGTTTTTAATTTGTTGGTTAGGTTGCATGTCCAATTCATTGGTTTATTCTTTATTTTAATGATGAAAACGTTTAGAGATACAAAGACTGCTTTGGCTACATTCCAAAAATTTTGGTACGTTGTTTCACTGTTGTCATTATCTTTAACGAAATTTCTGTGTCTATGATTTGTTCTTTTATCTACCCATTCTGCAGGTTTAATCATTTCTTCAGTAGCCCTTTATTGAATATAGTTTTACTGTAATGTGGTTTGTTAAAGATGAGTTTGGTATTTGTTTTTCTGTGTTTGTGAGTTTTTTCTAAGAACAATTTTTGTAAAAGTTCTATGTAGGCTTGAGAATGTGTACTCTTTTTTATTTCTACTCAATATTCTCCAGAGGTCTCTCACATGTAACCTTACTAAAATTCTATTCAGGTCCCTAACTTATTTGTTATTTATTTTTTGGTTAGATTTATCTAGAGGATGGGGTGCATTGAGATCCTACACTATTATAGTTTTATAATCTATAAATAATTTAACTTTTCTTTTTAGTATTTAGATGCTATGCCATTCAGTACACCTATTTAGTCTTGATATTAATTTATAGTCTATGGTACCTTTCAGCACAAAGTAGCTTCTTTTAATTATGTCTATTTCTGTTGTTGCTTTGTCTTGAAATTTATTGCTAACTATGCCTTTTTTACTTCAGGTGAAGCCTCACAGATTTTGCTGTAGCACCTTATTTTAACTGTACGAGTCTTTCTGACTCAAGTGTTTCTTGTAAATAACATTGTTGGAGTTTTCTAATTCATCTGATTATCTTCTTCCATTTTATGGGCAAGTTCATCCTATTCATAGTTATGATCATTAATTCTGTTATTTCTCTCTATTCTTATATATTTTCTTCTCTTTGTTTCTTGCCTTCTTTTTATAAATAAAAGGGTGTTGAGAGATAAGGAATATGTTCAGCACCAATGTTCTAGGTTTGCTAATGTTCCTTTGACTAGTTCAGATGAAATTGAAGTTTTACGTGTCATCTACTTCAATCCTCTGCCTTCTTGTTTCTATAGTCCTCTATTTATGCATCCTGAAATGTGAGATAATTTTATTTAAGTTTTGTTCATTTTCTAGATTCCACAGAGAGGCTGTTGAGGAGCTCACCTGTACTTCTCCCAGTTACTTCACCATCTTGTTTAGTTTTTCATTTATATGGTATTTTAAAGTGTGGAAAATGTTTTCCTTATATTAAAAGAGTCTCTGACCCTAGTACCAATGGGGTTTGTGTAAATTATTCTAGAGAATACTTTCAAAAATTCTTATGCTAATAGGAATAGCCAGTAATCCAATCCTTTGTGCCTTTACATAACTGATTTGATACAAGTAGCTTACCATTTCTTTTTACTGTAACTGCATGATAAGGAAACAAATTCCTTTTTGATAATTCCAGTAACCAATGAACAGCTGATTTGCTCAAGCCAACAATTTCCACAGCAGAACCATCTCTAAATTTAAATGCAAAATTTTTGATGTATTAACAAAAATTACAAAAACAAAATACAAGATATGAGAGGGCATCTCATAGAAATGATGACGTTTTGATTACTCAAGATATAATTGGTACACAAGATATTACCTTATACTTACAAATTATTTTACATCTATTTTCTTTTTTGATCCTTACAACACTAGCCAACTCAAGCAGCAATACTAATACCGATGAAGAAAAAAAAGACCAAGAGAGGTGAAGTGATTTACCCAAAATCATACAGTTAGAGAGTGGCAGTGGTAATGATGATGATGATAGCACTTACATAAGCACTTTAAAATTGGCAAAGGCTTTATACAGGCTATCTCATTTATTCCTCACAACCCTGTGAAATCAATGTGATTATTATTCCCATTTGACTGAAGAGGAAATTGAACCTGAGAACAGGTAAGTGACTTGCCCAGGATCACACAACTATTTACTGTCTATGGCAAGATTTGAATTTAGATCTTCCTAACTCCAAGTTCAACATCCTATCCAGTGAGCCACCTAGCTGCCCAAAGACAGGACTTAAGTTCAGCTCTTATCACTCTCAAGTCCCATCCTCTTTCTACTACTACTATGCTGCCTCTCAAGTGTAATATTTCCTAATCATTTATATCAACTGTCTTTAAATGAACATCAATTCTTTGTATCTTACCTACGTGGATCATGTCACATAAGAAACACTTTTCAAATTATTCTTTTGCTTTTCTCCATCCTCTTGAAGAAAAGAAGGAATGTTGTATGAAGCAGAATTGGGCAATGGGTAATAGCAAAAGATAGGTCTTAGGTAGAGAGTACCAAAGAGAAGATAAGTGTGTGTGTATACACACACACACACACACACACATATACACATACATATGTGGATACACATATATACATGTACACGAAAACAAATATGCACACACTTACACACACTAAAAGGGTATTCAGAAACCACACATGGCATACAGGAGAGACATAGGCTTTAGAGGGAAAATGAAGCAATTTCAAGAAATACCTTGTAGATGCATCTGATACATATAAAAATAAGCAAAGTGTTTAGAATATGCAAATAATTTTGTTATATTTAATGACATGCCTTTTCTGAAGACTATCTTTTAAAATTAAAATGTAGAATTTGTAATAAGAAAAATGGTTTAGTTGGTTTGAGATGGACATAAAGATTTCTGGAATATTCAAAATAGAACTATCTCTAGTTTGGCAAATATTTTAGTTAAAAAGTAATATAAGACAGAATATTTAAAATGCCATCAAGTAGTAAAATTTAAAATGATCATCTTTCCAAAGAAATAAAGGATTTCATTAAGGGGATGGGAATCAGTTATTGGAAGGAAGGAAAGAAAGAAGGAAGGAAACATTTATCAAGTGTCTATGATGTGTCAGGCATTGTGCAGTGCTAAGTGCTTTTCAAATAACTCATTTGATGCTCACTGTGGGAGGTAGATGCTGTTAAACCCATTTTACAGATGAGGAAACTGAGGCACATGGAGGTTAAGTGATTTGCCCAGGATCACATAGCTAGTGTCTGTGGCAGGATTTGAACTCAAGTCTTCCCATCCCCAGGCCCAGCACTCTATCCACAGTGCCACCTAGCTACCTCTAAATGGGCTAAAAGTTAAGGCAAAAGAGATTTCAAATGAATACAAGGAAGAATGTGATGACTAAATATAATACTGTATGAACACATCTAGAGAAATTGTGGTGACTCCACAAGAAGTAAAAAAGAAATCTTTCAGAAAATAGATAACTTTCTGGGCTGATATAAAATGGTAATATTTCAGGGGATTCCTTTAAGTTCTACAATTCTGAAGCTTATGTACATGGAAAAGTATGGTAGGTTTTTTGAGGTCAAAAGATAATTCTTTTCTTCAATGAGAGCTTCCTATGAGTAGCACCTGACAATATTATGGCAGACAAATTTTTCATGAGTAATTAAATTTATTAACATTTTAAGTGCTAAAAAGTCTTGTGTAGGTATTCATTTATGGCTGAAAACTGGTGGTAAATAACACCCTAATACATAAAAATTAGAATGTTCTCCTTGAAGAAGGCAAAAAACTAGACATTGTTAAAGTACTTTTAGAATAGTCAATTACATGAGCATTATAAAACAAGCTATATACCTCGGGGTGGCTGGAATTCCTCTGTTTCGAGCTCTGTCACTCTCCCCCATTTTATCCATCCAGGTACCACAATTAAAGCGATTTCCTCCAAAAACAAAACCTGTTTGATCATCTACTCCTGCAGTTATATTAAATCCTTCGAAAAGGAAATAAAACCTTTTAAAATTCTCTAAGAATTATCATAAATTGATCTTTAAATTAAAAAAATGTCTACATGTTTTAGAAATTCCTGGTCTAGTCAAGATTACAGAAAATATACAATTCAACTGGCACATGCTATTTATAAGTTATCGAGCTTCTATTTGATTATTTGAATATCAAATTACTTTTATGGAATGTTTAAGAACAAAAACTTGTTAATTTACAGCAAAATTTTGCTAATGAATGGGCAACCCTAGGCAAATCATTGCTACCTTAAATTCCTTTTCCCCTAGTTACAAAAGATAATACTAATGCAGATATCTAAAAAATGTTTTATGATTGTTGTTAAATGGAATAAAAAATACAAAAGACTATCATATCTTGGTCTCAGGATATCTGGCATTAGGTTGTCAGGTTATACAATTGTGTCTACAGGTATTAGTGTTTGTAATTAGGTATTCAAAGAAATAATTTACTTACCTCTCAGGAATGAAAATAAAAAAAAAATCTAACTGCGAAATAAGCTTCCAAAATAGCTAATCAAAAAGTCTAAATTGTAATTTCCAAAGAACAATGTATGTTACTTCAGCTATACCTTCATCCTTCATGTTTCTATCTATCTGTGGGCCAGCATTCCTTTCTCGGAACTGTATACCCTGCAGGTGGCGTTGCATAGCTTCTTGTATTACTTCATACAATGGCTGATCCTGATTGAGACAAGAGACCACAACTAAGTCTTTGAAAAATTACATTTTTCCTTTATTTCAAAAAATTCCCAATTGAACTGAGAGAAAAATAAATTATCCCTTCTAAGAATTATTAGCTATTTATTTTATTCATAAAAACAAAACAAAATAATGAGGTATTATCTAATGGCATTTGAAATAAGGTAAAGAAATTAAAGGAATTGTTTTTAGCATTCTTATATACTGTAATACTATTACAGCTGTAGTAAAACAAAATCTATCATCCAAAAATTATCTGTGAAGTTATGCAACAATTACATACATAATTATGTAAACTCAATTTTTTATATCATTGTGAAAGTTCTTCATGATTAACTACGAAGAGCCAAATAAAATGGCTACCAAGTCAGTAACTAGCTGGGTATAGTAATAGGCTCTTGAAAATAATGGCTTACAATTTATGTCACAACTAAAAAATTTAAATCTGTCAAAAATATAGATATCCATGTATGCCCTAAATTAAATTTAAATATCATTTGTTAAGTATCTACTATTGCACTGCCTTATTGGATCTCATACTGTAAACTTTCTCAGTTCTTTAGTAGTTTCTTCTCACTAACATAAGAATCCAAATTTAAATAGTGCTACTTATTGCACAATACAAATGCATGAAATAAAATAATACAAACAATTTTAATTATCTGCTGTTTTAGAAAGAGACGAAAACATTGGGAATTTTAAAAATTAGAACAATCTAAAGACAAACGATTAGCTGTAATATTAACAGCCCAAAAAAGCCCAGCCAAGTTAACAGGCAGTAGGACAGTGATCAAGCAAACAGGAGGAAGCAAAGAGTCGTGTTGCATCAGTAACTACATCATTACAATTACATTTTTAAATCACATAAGGAAGCTGTAAATGCGCAAGATCAAGGTAGAATTAAAATCTTGATGCACAGGGCAACTATTTTTGTCATCTACTACCCTCAAAAATGTCACTGATTTATCTGTCAAGGAGAAACTCTAGGTCTGACTCAGGATAGTGATGATGATTTAAGAAATTCTTATTATATCACTCCCCAAAATATTATGTTGTTTAAATTATTTTCTAAAGTAACATAAATCAGATTTCCCTTCTATAACTCCTCCTTGAACCTTTCTCCCCTTTTTTTGATTTGTTGTTGTTTTCTTCAGTTGTTTCACTCTTTATGACTCCATTTGGGGTTTTCTTGGCAACGATATTAGAGGGGTTTGTCATTTCCTTCTCTAGCTCATTTTACAGATGAGGAAACTGAGGCAATCAGGGTTAAGTGACTTGCCCAGGGTCACACAGCTAGTAAGTGTCTGAGGTCATATTTGAACTTAGGAAGAGGAGTCTTCCTGACTCCAGGTCTGGCACTCTATCTACTGTGCCACCTTAACTGTCCCATTCCTCCTTTTCTGATATCTATGGCATTTCAATAGAATAGTTTCTTCTTCTAACTCCCCTGAACATTTCTGTTTAACCTAACCCTAGCCTCCAAAATGACATACATGTATGTAAATATTGTTTTCTCTTTAGTAGAAAGATTATAAACTTTAAGAGGGCAAGAAGTTTGTCTCAATCACCCTTGTATTCATCACAGTGCCTCTGCATCTAGTGAGTAATCAGTTTTTTGGTAAATGAATACCTATTGAATTCTTGAGATTTACATTATTTTAATTTTTAAGAGTTTTGAATAGTTTATTAGAAATTATATTTACCAATGTGCCTGCTGGCAAAGGGGGAGAATCATCTGTAGGATACATTCTGGCAACTGGGCACTTAAGAATGTCTGTGCCATTTGGAACCATTTTGCAGTAATCCTGAATACACTGTAACCACCACCACACAGCATCTCGGCAATTAAACCTGGCATAAGTTCCTTCACCAAGGAGATTGGGAATGAGTCCATGTCTCAGGGTACCAGCAAATGCTAAAATTATATTCCTGAAACCAGAGATTTAAGCATATAATTTAACAAAATCAGTTTTAAACACTAAAGACTAAAAAGGCACATTACATTAGACTCAATTTTATCTTCTTTTAATTTGCCCCACAGCAAATTAGTGTATAAGTAACTAAGCAATATGAAAAAAAGTCACATCAAAATAAATGTCTAAGAATATAATTATATAAATAAGAACAAGTTGCTCATGAAGAATATGATACAGATTTAAGCTTTCAGTGAAAGTCAACTTAATTATCAAGGCATGTTTCTGTTATCATACATTTAAGCCTTACTCTGATACTTAATCATAGTATGGTGATGACCTTAGGTTCTTAAAAAGTTACGTTGGCAGAGTATAAAGCTCTAATATGTCCTATTAAGCAGAAAAAGCTTTGAATGGGCACAGAGGGTGACTGTTTATTGTTCAAGGATCAGTCTACCTAAGTTCAGAGAAGCTCTTCAATAGCTTGCTACTAGTGGATGAATTTTTTCTTTCTTTGTCTTTTTTCTGGCATTTCATAAAACCATCCATTAAAACCTGGAGAGGTTGTGATCTGAGTTTTTGCTACAGTGAATACTCACACTGATGAAATAAATGTATTAGAGGATCATATATTCAGAGCTACATGGCACTTGAGAAGTCACCTCATTCAAAGTTGTTTTACAGGTGAGGAAGCTGAGGCCCAGAGAGGTTAAATGACTTGCCCCAGGACAGACAGGCATTAGGAAACAGAGCCACTTAATAAGTCAGTTCCTCTGATTCTATGTGTAGTTTCTTCCTTTACATTCCTGAAGAAACAAGGCAAAGTCATGGCATCCACAGCTTATTGTGTGTAAAGACAGGGTGACCCAAGAGCGTCTGTTTTCTACTTCTTCCCCAAAGCAGTTGGGAAGCTTCTACTATAATGATAAAGAGCCTTACACTCCTCAATACCCAAAGCCTGGCTGCTTCAATAAATAAACAGTTAAATAAAAACAGATGCTCGTAACATAATAATAGCTAGCACTTATATATGGCTTTAAGGTTTGCAAAGCCCTTTATGCACATTATTTTATCCTCAACAATCCTGGAAGGCAGGCGCTATTATTGTCCCCATTTTACCTATGAGGAAACTGAGGGAGGCACTGAGGGGTTAAGTGACTTGCTGAGGGTCATGCAGCTAGAATGTGTCTGAGGTGGAATTTGAATTCAAGTTTTCTTGGATTCCTGGCTCCAGGTCCAGGGCTTCCTCCACTGCACCATGTAGCTGACTCTGTGTATAATTTCAAAGCACTAAGAAAAGGTTGAAGTATGTGTAACATACTCTTCTAGCTTGTTTTTCAAATTCCTTTGCCACTTAAAGGGATAACTTTAGTTACTTGAAAAATAACTGAGAAAAACCTCATTCCTAGAAGATGCTGAATAAATGAAATGTTATGATATCTTTTAAATTAAATATACCTTTTAAAGTTACAGGTTTTTAATTCATAGTGGTTTGTTTTGTTTTGACTACAGCTGATTAGTTACACACATTACTGAAACTGGTCAATCTTAGGAAGCAACATAAAGTCAGGGGCACATTTAAGGTCAAATAAAAAACAACTGGGATTAGAAATCTGAAGTTTCCCAATTCTTTCTCTAATGATCAATCTGTAACAACACTGTCTCCTTGTAGAAAACACAAAATGGTGCACTAGCAATAAGCAGTAGATCATAGCATGTCTATTTTTATATTTAAATGTAGAAGAGAAATCATATTTTCTGGTTTATGATGTTAAGAGAACTAACTCTATAATGATCAATCTTAGTTAATACACCAAAAAATTCTCATCACATAGGACCTAAATGAAGTATTCCAATGGGTGCTCGAAAAGAATCCCACTCTAATATTAATAAAAGAAAATGGATTAAAATAAATCATGATGAACAGGTAAGGAGCAATATTTGTATAAATATTTGAACTGTAATTTAGTAGACATCCTACCTGGCCTCTAAGTAGCGTCCAGTAATCAGAAGTATACCTCTAAGAGCGATAAAGGTATCCCTTCCCCAGCAGCGGAAAATACCAGATGAAAAATGAGGTAAGCCTAAAAGAAAATCATAACATAATATCAATTTCTCTTATTCACAATCTAGACTCACTGTAGAATTTCATTTTTTTAGTCATTTTTCAGTCATGCCTGACTTTTCATAGGTTTTTCTTCTTAGGTTGTTCTTGGCAAAGATTCTAGAGTAGTTTGCCATTTTTCTCCAGCTCATTTTACAGATGAGGAAACTGAGGAAAACAGGATTAAGTGTCTTGCCTAGGGTCACACATCTAGTAACTGTCTGAGGCCAGATTTAAACTTAGGAAGATGAGTCTTCCTGACTCCAGGTCTGGCACTTTATCCACTGGGCCACCTAGCTGCCTTTCACTATAGAGTAGCATCTCTCCAAGTGTGGTCTGGGAACCCGAGACCCTTACAGAGGGTCTACAACGTCAAGACTACATTTTCTCTTATATTACTAAGACATTTTAATTTCTAATATGATAAACACCAGTAGCTACAACCCACATAAACGAAGTTCTTTGGTAACGAAGTGCTCAATTTTTAAGAGAGTTTTTAAAGGGGTCCTGAGACCAAAGAGTTTGAGAACCATTGCTACAGAGAGAAAAGAAAGTGTAATTGAAGCATTGTTACTAATGAATATATATGTATGTGTGTGTGTGTGTGTATGTGTGTGTGTGTATATACACACACACATATATAGATTTTTTTTTTTGCGAGGCAATTGGGATTAAGAGACTTGCCCAGGGTCACACAGCTAGTAAGTTTCAAGTGTCTGGTCTGAGACCAGATTCGAACTCAGGTCCTCCTGACTCCAGGGTCAGTGCTCTATCCACTGTGCCACATAGTTGCCCCATTAATGAATATTTTTATCTGAGTTAAATACATATGTATATAAATATATACATTTAAATAATCTTTCAATAGATTACAATTTTTGATACCAAATTTAGGAAACCTGAGAAGACACACACTACAATATTAAAAATAATTTCAACAGAGGGTTACTCGTAAGCTTCTTTTTTTTTTTTAGGCAACTGGGGTTAAGTGACTTGCCCAGGATCACACAGCTAGTGTCAAGTGTTTGGTCTGAGGCCAAATTTGAACTCAGGTCCTCCTGACTTCAGGGCCGGTGCTCTATCCACTGCGCCACCTAGCTGCCCCAATAAACTGACAACCAGGATTTTTTTGTTTGCTTTTTTTGTTCTTTTTTTTTTGCTAGGCAATAGGTTTAAATGACTTGTGCAGGGTCACACAGCTAGTGAGTGATATATGTCTGAGATCACTTTTGAACTCAGGTCCTCCTGACTCCAGAGCTGGTGCTCTATCCACTGCACCACCTAGCTGCCCCTGGTTACTTGTAAGTTTAAGAGCAACAGGTAGAACTGAGTCTGAGATTATAGGTGTTTCTACTACTATGACTAGTCAATACTGAACATTACTTGATACTCTACATTTAAACTCTAAATATTAATTAGCCCATTGAGCTTACTGTAATTAATTTGATGTTCAAGTTTCCTCTATGTTAAGGAAGGTGAAAAAAAAAACAACCAAGCTAAACAAATGAAAAAAACAAACTCAAACAAAGAGAATGCTTGAAAGCAAAAAATGAACAAGAAAGCTTGTTCATCCCCTTTACCATCCACCGGAATGGATTACTAGAAACAAAAGATTCAGAATCACGTGACTCCTATTTCAAGGTCTGATTTTCTTTATCTTGATGGTTCTTTAGAAATGTGTATTTTTGTGATCTAAGGATTTGAAAATCATACTTAAATATCCTACACTGCTTATTTTAGAGACTAATAAAAATATTCACAGGTGTCTTTCTAAATTCCTGTCACTAAAAATAAAGACTACTCTTCACCATGCAGAACCACTTCATTTGTAGTCATTTTTGTCTATGAAATTCCATTTTTCACAGAAGAAAGCAAGGGTTCCTTTGTCAAGTGACCTGAACATTCCAGGCATCTATATACATGGAATGATACATGAATGAAGAACAAGAAGGGAAGTAAAAACTGTGGGTAAGTTTGGCGTCTCTCTTTTCATTTGAAGATTCTAGGAGTACTAATTATCCTGTTATTTGCTTCTATGGTGACCAAAGAGAATCAGCATGACAAAGCAACATTTCAATTAGAAACCAATAAAAAAATTATGCTAGAGTTAAAACAGAACAAATGTCAAGGAATTGGGAAAAAAAATTTACAGAAATAGAAGACTAAGTCCAAAACATGTTTTGAGAAGTGAAAGATGAGAAAATCTCTTAAAATACTTCACAACTTAAGTTAGATAAATTAGAACTGTTTCTAATAAAAGTAGATAAATGCTATTATTTCATTACTGAAAGATTGTAGTTGAAATTGGATATCTATCTATACATGGAAAAGAAGCATTCCTGGAAAGGAAAATTCTGCGTGGTAAAACCCATTATTTTATACTTGAGTAGAAAAAAAATTATAATACATTCCTAGAGCAATGCCTTACAAATGAAAAGTAGAGAAGCCAGGTCAACTTCAACACTGACATTTGTCTCTCTGCATAGATTCTCATAAATCAAATACAAAAACTAGAGCAGCTCATATTATAGTCTGGTTATTTAATATGAAAGTCAAGGTGCTTTTCTGCTCCTAGAGGGGCTGTTTACAGATTGTCAATCCAAATCTACTGACTCCTTAATTGCTACTCCCAGGGCTTTTAAAACACTTATTCTCTCAGCCTTTTTGTTTTTGCTTTTTAGACAGGCAAGAAAAGTCTTTCCAAGATGGCCAACTTGAAGTAGAGCTGTTAACAAAATATGAAGAAATGAGTGAAGGGGACCTTAAAATAGTACTATTTTCTGATTTATCAATTCCATAAAATCAAGTTCCACAGAGGATCACTGTGCAATGATATGTAATGAGACTTCTGCTTCTGGGAGCCAAGATGGCAGAGTAAAAAGGTAGTCGCTCTCACCCTCCCCTATCAACCTCTGAAAACCTAGAAAATATCACCTCTGAAAAAACCCTGGAACAGCTGAACCAGAAGAAAGATGGGGTGCAGCACTGCAGTAGCCCAGTAGCTAGAGGGATTAACGGGAAAGGTCCCTCTTACCCTGGGGAAAGGGGAGCAGTACAGAACTGGGAGTCACCCAGCCAGCTAGTGGAAAGACCCACTTTAGCACACCAGGAGGAGATTCTGGTGCCTTGGCATTCTACAGTAAACGGGTCTCCCAGTGCCTCAGCAAAAATAAGGGAAGCAGCACTACAAGGGGCCCCAGACGGATAAGCACCTGGCAGCATTCATCTGAAAGGAGCTGAAGAAAGCAACCTAGAGGTGCCAAAAAGTTCCAGCCTTGTTGATTCCAGCCCAACACTAGGTAAGCTGTCAGAACCCTACAGCCTCCAACTGCCAACCAGGAGGAGATCCCGAATCCCAGGTGGTCTAGCAGGTGAACACCAACAGCTGTACCTCCAAGTGCCTCAGTGAGGGTGGGGTAACTGGTGGAAACCAGCTCAGAAAACCACCAGGTGCCTCGGCATTCTACAGCAAAGAAGTCTCCCAGTGCCTCAACAGAAATAAGGGAGGCAGCACTGCAAGGGGCCCCAGGCAGATAAACACCTGGCAGCTCTTATCTAAAAGGAGCTAAACAAAGCTAAAGGAAAGGAAAAGCAGGCAACCTAGATTTACCTGAAAGTCCCAGCCTTGCTTATTCCAGCCCAACACCAGATAAGATGCCAGAACCCTACAGCCTCCAATTGCCAACATAAGAGGCCCCAGCACACAAAGCCAGTAACTAAGACCTAGGCTCCCAATACAAGAAGCTTGGGTCAGTGCCCTCTGCTCCCCAGCAGGAGAGCTAAATCTCTTTAAAGGCCAGGGAATAAAGAAACATCATGAGTAAAAAGAAACATATGATAGATTCATATTATGAGAAGAGTGAGAGCGAGACAGAAATTCTGAAGAAGACAACACTGTCATCAAACCCACATCTGCAACATTAAAAGGGAATATGAACTGGTCTGAAGCCCAAAAAGCCTTCCTAGAAGAACTCAAGAAGGATTTTAAAAGTCAAATGAGAGAGGTAGAGGAGTCCTTTAAAAGTACAATTGGCCAATTGAAAAAAAAGTACACCGAAGAAAACAAGTCCCTAAAACACACAATTGACCAATTGGAAAAAAAGTACAATGAAGAAAATAAATCCCTTAAAAATACAATTGACCAATTGGAGAACAAAGCACAAAATCTAACAGAAAAAAAACAATATGTTAAAAATTAGAATTGAACAAATGGAAACTAATGACTCTATGAGAGAGCAAGAATCAGTCAAACAGAAACAAAAAAATGAAAAAAATAGATGAAAACGTAAAATACCTCATAGGTAAAACAGCTGACCTGGAAAATCGATCGAGGAGAGACAATTTAAAAATTATAGGCCTACCTGAAAGTCATGATGAAAAAAAGCCTGGACAATATCCTTCAGGAAATCATAAAGGAAAACTGCCCTGAAGTCCTAGAACCTGAAGGTAAAATGACTATAGAAAGAATCCACTGCTCCCCTCCTGAAAGAGATCTCAAATTGAAAATGCCAAGGAATATAATAGCTAAATTCCAAAATTATCAGATTAAATGATATGTAATGAGAAATACTTTCAAATAGGATGTCATGTCCTTTCTGCCTTTTAGTCACAGCAACTTTTAGCACAGAAATGTGGGGAAAAGGATTTACTTAATCGTTACTGAAAAATACAGTCATTCTTTTAAAGTAGCTTCTGATAGACTCATATGGCAGGAAATTTCAGAGAAAGAGATGGAAGAGACCAATTCAGAAGCCAAAATATAACTCAATTAACAACAAACTTAACTTTTTGTAGGAATGAGCCTAGGGTTCTGCTGCCAAGCCTTTCTTTCCTTTGCTAAGTAGGTGAAAGGTGGAGATTAAAAAATATTTTAAAAAGGTCTTGGTCAAACATTCTTTTAGTACTTTCTGATATTTTTCCATTCATCTTATTAGGTGTGTTAATTAAATTCATCTTGTCCATATTTTGGGAAATCCTTGGGAAAAAAACACAAGAGCCTAAACACATGAGTGAACTGGGTTTTTCTTGTTTACATTTATTATTTCATTCAGGTTTTATTCTTACTTGCTACTTAGAAAGACTGCTAATTTATCATAAATCTTTCAAAGAATTTGAGTGTAACTAAACAGTTGTCAAAATTTGGTTGACTTAAAAATACACTGGCAACAAAAGAGTCTAAAAATTAAATGTTGGAGAAAAGTATACAGGACCAGGGGAGTAAGTGGAAGAGGATTAAATGGAAATAATTACATAAATGAGTTTGACTAGTAAAAAGTCTTCACACTAAACACAGATTATGTTCAAAACCACAACTTTTTTATAATACCACAAATTATAAATCATCATACACCCTCTTAAAAAAATCTGCAATTTCTCTTAGAATATGGTACAGTCACATTTTAAAATCATATATTTCTTACCAGCAGCTAGAGAAACACAGCATTGCTCCTTCTCTCTGGTTACCTCATTTAGTCTATACGGGACATCAGGAAGTGAGGGAGAAAGAAGGGGAAGACAGGGGAACTTTCCTACTCCACACAATTGAACTGAACCCAGCGAAAGGTGTTTTACAAATGTCGAGCCATTCTGAACAAAGCTGTAATAAAAAAAAAAGAGTTAGTAATTATTTAATTTGCATTCCTCCATTCTTTACCTTAACAGTACATGTGAAACACTGGTAAAGTTCTGTCGAATAAATGTAACTACAATTTATATAGCACTTTTAAGTTTTGCAAAATGCTTTGTGTGTTGTCTCATTTTATCTTTAAATGAGGATAAACTCTGTAAGATACATGCTATTACTATCACCCTCATTTTACATATGACAAAACTGAGGCTGAGAGAGTTTAAGTGATTCATTGTAGGGGCACACAGCTAGTAAGTGTTTGAGGAAGGATCTGAACTCAAATTTTCCTAACTCCAAATCTAACACAATACACTGAACTATCCGGCTAAGAATTTTGAACTGATTAGGTGCCAGAAGTGGTAGAAAATACTTTTATTTTATTTCTAATATGAAAAGATTAGCTAACAATTTATTATTACATGGAAGCCTACGAAATATGAACTTTTGGCTTGGAATTTTATTTTCTGAATTTTCCTACTAATTCTGTGTTTTTATAAAAACTGAAATACAATTTATCATTTACTTCTAAGGCCAAAATCTTTATAACTCTGATTCATCACTATGTCAGAAAAAAATTTGAGGACTGTTGCAAAGAGGACTAAAATAACAGATGAAGACACTAAAAAACAAATGTTTTTGATAAATTCTATGATAATATAAAATGACAAAAAAGAAAAACTGAAACTAGGCCAACTTTCCCAATGATGCTTTTTCTGAGTCTTATAGGACAATCTCCTATTTGAGATTATTTAGATATGCCTCTGCCTTTAGGCTCCGAATTAACTGGCCACTCAAAATCCTTTCCGGGACTATGATTTTAAGACAAATATTCATTTGTTAACTTATTGTCATTTGTTACTTGTTAATTTAAAATTTGGTATTATAGTTTTGGTACCTCTATTAAAAGAGAGTATAATAAAGTGACTTCACATGTATTTTCTTTACAAACACTAACATTTATTCTAGTTTTGTTGGCTATACCTTGACATCTGATTCCACGCTACATCCAGAAGAGTGGTGTATGTCCCAATTAATATAGCATCAAAGTAACATGGGATAAGGTAACGTGGAATCTGCTTCAAGTAGAAGAACACAGCTTGCAACCATCTACCAACCTGTTAGAATAATAATTGAAAAGTTAGTTTAAGTTTGTTTCTAGGCTAGATAAGTTTAGAAGAGGAAACCAAGTACATAACTTTACAATCTAGCATTGGAACAGTGAGGTTTCCATTCACTGATAATAAAGGAAAATAAAAAAAAACCCAACTAGCCACATATTAAAAAACTATGTAAATATAAATATGTGAATGTCACAGAAGAGTACTTCTATCTGGGGATAACACTGTCCTCCCTAAAAAACAGTTCTACTTACTTCTGCAATAGTTCCTGAGCGTGAAATCAGCCGATTACTGACATAGTCAATCATCCAATCTCCAGACCTTAAATTATTACAAAAAGGATGACCCAGGTCATTCTTTGGTCTTATTTCTGCTAACACAGACATTAAACCTGAAAACAGAGAGAAACATTCTATTTCAGATCTAAATGTATGATTTTATGATCTTTGATTTCACTATGGGCACAGACAATTTAGTGTTATGGACTGAGTTGTCATTAGCATCTAATACTCTTCAAGTGCAATGAAAGAGCATTTTGTGCATATAAAGGAAGATGGCTACTGTAAGACCTCCCTTGTGGGTGATGAACATGTGAAAGATACTGTGCATGGACCATGAAAATGAAAGGTGTACTGCAAATTCTGAGAATCACTGGGAATTGGGAGACAAATCTCAAATTAATGAGATTTGTTTGTTTGTATGTTTGTCTTGGAAGCCTTGAGAAAGGACTGGGTCTGCTTTGTATGACTTGGATATTCCTGTTCAAAGGGCTGGCTGGTCTTGGGGCTTCTGGCATTAGGTAAGAAATATTAATCTATGCACAGCTTTCTTCAAGGTACTATAAATTCCTATATAAATTAGGTTGTAGTCAATAGCTATTAAAGACGACTAAACCATCTCCTTCCCCAAAAGGAAGTAAATGTGGGTAGGAGGATAAATATGAAGGTAATGAACCTATCTTTCAGTGGCCAAAGGAATGTCTATGGTAAATTGTGTACGCAGGGTTACAATGAAATAGGTTTCTGAAGTGACACAAACACCTTCAGGTCTAGTGACAAGAAGCCTGGAGGACTTAGCCATAAATGAAACATATCTGGCACTCCTATGTGTCTGGAATCTCTATTCCATGGCATATCAAAGCAATGGCAGTAGGACAAGCTTACTTAACAGTACTGGACTTTGCATACACTGACATGTAATGGAACATGATATTGTCATTGATTCATAAATTAACCTAGACAACACTTTACTATTTCCTTTTTCCTTTTCAGGCTGTCTCTCATGCCTCGAATGGTCTCCTTCACCTTCATCTTTTAGAACCCTTGGTTTCCTTCAAAGACTCGGCTCAAGTTCTATCTTCCACATAAAGCCTTTCCTGATTCTTTCAGATGCTAATATATTCCTTCCACAAACTGCCTTGTATTCATTCTCTGTGTGTCAAACATTCACACAAACAACACACATATAGGCAAGCTCCTACAGGGCTTGAGGGTGGGAGATATTTTCCTTGTCTTTGTATCCCTAACACTTAGCTCAGTACTTAGTTCATAATACCTCACACTTAAAATAGCATTTTAAGGCTGCCAGAACTCTTTGCAAATACTATTTCGTTTTATTATTCATGAAATAAAATACATTTTATTATACATATCATACAAAGTAGGCACTTGTTATTTAGTTGTTTCAGTTGTATTTGACTCTTTGTCATCCCATTTGGGGTTTTCTTGGCAAAGATACTGGAGTGGTTTGCCATTTCCTTCTCCAGCTCATTTTACCAATGAGGAAACTAAGGCAAACAGGGTTAAGCAATATGTCCAGGGTCACCCAGCTAGTAAGTGTCTGAGACTAGATTTGAACTCAGGAAAATGAGTATTCCTGACTCCAGGCCTTTGCACCACTCTATCCATTGCGCCACCTATGGACTGACTCCTGTTATAAAAGAAATTTAAGTCAAACCATTTACTGACAGGCACAATACAACAAGGGCTCTTGGAGGGGAATATAAAAACCAGTTCAACAACCACTTAAGTACCTACTAGCTGAAGAGTACTACCAGCTGGGAAAGATACCAAAATAGATAACACATGGCTCCAACTCTCCTAAAAATTTGCAGTCTGTCAGCAGGATAGAACACATATAAAAGTAACTAACACAAAATAGAAATAGAAGGTACAACTCCAGTTCTCCAATCTAGCTAAAAAGAGGCTTAAGTGTTTTTGAACTTGCTTACCTTGAAGTCCTCCATATTTAAGGGGTGACCAATTTGGTATATTATAGCATCCTCCACCATCCTCTTGTTCTTCTGACTCACAGCGGTAGAGTAATTGGTTTAGGTCAGCCAGAGTTAATTTGGATGCTATTCTAAGTATAAGAAAATAAGTAAGGACAAATGATTATTTCATCTACCAAACTCAAATACTATAGTGTGTTTCAATATTTACATGATCCTTGATTCCATTAGCATAGGTCCTGTAGTATGTTAACCTCCAATTCATCTCCCCAAAATTAAATACTATTTTAAAGTGATTGTGGAAACCTCAGTAAGACTAACTGTACAGAAAAGCAAACTACAAAATAGCTCAACTACCTGTCAACAAAAATATAGAAAACATTGGAACTGCTACCATTGAAATGACATTTCAGCTATGTATATGTTCAGAACTGAACAAATCCAAATACAAGGACTCTAATGGATCTCAAACAACCTACCCACCCTTTGTGATTCTCATTTCTGTCCTCCCATAGTTTTCCCACAGAATACCCATCCAACATGCTAGGAGCCTTCTTTGTATTCTCTTGACATGATATGGATGCCAGTTCCAGTGGTTGTCCTTCATTTTAGCACCTGACTGGTTTTATCTCTTCCGGTCATATATTTCTCCAATTATGTCTTTTAGAGTGTCTTCCCTACAATTCCTCACTTGTAATATGTTGCAGCCTTGTTACATTCAACATATGCTGCTCCACTGCTCTTAGGGTAATCCTTAAATTTCAACTGTTTGAAAACACTATTTTACGACTAGTAGCTATTCATCACTGCCTTTGGTTTGGGAAGAAGCTTAGAATCATTAAAAGAATTATAAAATTTCCCAAAGCAATCCAACCCACTTTCCTCTTACTCAATTCAAGTTCAGCTCATCACTGTTCATTTGCAGATCTGTGTACTGTTGGAAGAGCACTAGGGTTCACATCCAAATGTTTATCATAGGACACAACACATTCACTGCTACATTCTTCAGTGTTACAAGGCTCCAGGCTTGATACAATTAGCCTAGGCCCTTGGGTTATCTGCAAAAATGAGCATCTGAAAACTCTCATCATCTATAAGGAATCTTTTTTTTTTTTGACTTGGACTTTGTTCTGGACTTCCTCCATGACAATGACAAACATCTGTGGGTGAATATTCATATCCCTGTTTCATGTCTCACTTGATATGAACAATAAAAGTGTTGAGCAGAGTGTTGTTACTCCTTAAATGAAATCTTGAAAAATTTTGACACATGCATGGGAGTTACTTTGTTGAAGGTGAGTCTTTATAGTGGAGTTTTATTCTACTAGACGAAATTATTTTTCGTAGTCAACAAAAAATAGCATAGGGGAATCTCATTTTCTATACATTTTCTAGTCAATTTTATGACTGAAAAAATGTAGCCTAATGTGGAATATCATTTATGAAAACCTGACAGTTCCCTTCAAATATTTTCTTCAAGGACAGCATTGATGCATGAATTCATGGATACATTATTGTAATAAAAAATTTGTACATATAGGTCAAGAAGGCAAAAAGATGAGGAGTTATTAATGTTTTCTTGGTCATTTTTTTGTAATAAAAAGATCCAAGATCCCCCCAAACTTCTAGTATCTTCCACTTTTTTAGATACTCTATGAATTGATCCATTAAAGGCCCCAAAAGAATGTTGCCTCCAGCATGAATGAATGCACTGGTCTAGGTGCTTTTCTCATTTTTGTTTTCTTTAGTGCTGCTGCCACTTCTTCAAGCAGCACTTTGGCATTACAGTGTAAGTGTGGTGGGTTCCACTATATGTAAACTCATCAGTTTTTAAGGATTTCACATTTAAAGCATCAAGAGTGAAATTAAAGTTTATGGAACTGTCTAAAAATTGTATGTGCTTCCTTTCCTGCCACTCTGCCAAGAACTGCCAAATTTAACTGTTTGGCAAAAATATTATAAAAGTTCTTTAGGTTGTCTTATTTTTCAATTTGGGAAAATTATTTTATTTTTTCAAATCCCCCAAGTTTTGTCTTTAAAGAGTTTTTTTTTAACTTCTTCCATGTTCTCTGTGTAGAGAACCTAACAGCATCGCAGCGAAAATGACAATGGATTTGGAGCTGGAAAACAACATCTTGAGTCTTGGCTCTGCCATTAGTAATCACCGCCACCTGGTATCTGTGTGACCCTGGGCAAGTCATGTGATCTCCATAAATCTGTTTCTTCTTTAAAATGGGATTATTAATACTTATTTGTTTCATAGAGCTGTGAGTATCAAACAAAGAAATTTATTCTTTTTTTTTCTTTTTGGTGAGGCAATTGGGGTTAAGTGACTTGCCCAGGGTCACACAGCTAGTAAGTGTCAACTGTCTGAGGCTGAATTTGAACTCAGGTCCTCCTGACTCCAAGGTTGGAGCTCTATCCACTGTGCCACCTAGCTGCCCCTGAGGAAATGTATTCTTTAAAAAATAATTTGTAAACTGTAAAGATTCAGAAAAATGCCAGCTATTTTTATTATTAATTACCTCAAGCTATTAATTGAAGAATTAATTAAGGCATGCCCCATATATTTAACAACTGACACACAGACTGTTATTTGCACACTGCTTTTTCCATCTTCCTCACTAAGAGGATGCTTGGCTCCTCAGCACAGCTAGGCTAAGAACCAATCAGGTCTGAAACAATGGCACCACAACATAGTAGTCATCATTTATGTAGCACTTTTTAATTTGGTTTTATAGGTTTTTTTTTAAAGTTTCATATCTAATTCAGTGATCTATTCCTTCTCTTTTTTATTGAAAAAGGTGTTTAGATATAAAATTTCCTCTAAGGACTACTCTGGCTGTGTCCCTAAAACTTTGGCATGTTGTCCCTGGTTTGGTATATTGGACTGGATTAATGCCCACTTGGTTTCTCCTTAGAATTCCCAATCACTATTTGGTCTGACAGTCTTCTTAGGTCTTTGTTGGAATTGTTGGGTTGCACTGCTTCCTTTGACTCATCCATGTTGGTTGGTCTCTGTATATAGCACTTTTTTATATCACAAAAGAACCAGTGCCATCAAATCCTAGCATTACTGAAAGTGCATGAAAGACGATCACTTTTGAAATCTCTGTGAAAGTATTCACCCTCTCCTCTCAATCAATCAGTCAACAAGCATTTGTTTAGCACATAATCTTGTGCAGGGCATTGGCTAGGTACTGGGGACACAAAGACAGACATGAAACTCCCTGACCTCTGGGACCATTTGAACAGAGGAGACAATATGTACATATATAAATATATATAAATAAATACCAAGTAATTTCTTGGGAGTGGGACTAAATTCAGAAAAGATCTCGTGCAAAAGGGAGCAACTGGGCTGAACTTTGAAGGAAAGAAAATTCTAAGAGGCACAGGTGACAAAGGAATCCATTCCAAGAATTGGGGACAAATTGTACAAAGGTATATAGAAAAGAAGATCAATGACTATGTTTGAAAAATAGCAAGGTTAGTTTAGATGTCTCATAGAGGTCCAAAAGTGATGTAAAGCTATAAGGTAAGAAAGGCACATCAGAATCAAGTTATAATGGGCTTTAAATGCACAGACAAGCCTGTATTTGCTGCTACAGATAATAGGGAGCCACTAGAGTTTATTGAATAGGGGGTTGATTAACATGGTCAGATCTGTAGTAGTATTAATTTGACCGTTGTGTGGAAAATTGGAGAGGGGAGAGAGACTTGAGGCAGGAGATCAATTAGGATGCTGTTGCAATAGCTGGTAAGAAGTGATAAGGACCTGGCCTTTGGTGCCAGCATTCAGGACAAACACTATTTCTCAACTTTTTTTTGTTTTTAATTACTTGCATCAGTATCTGACTTCTACTAGTTTGCAATGTTTGCATTGCAATAACGTATGCTAGCTGCATGGATTTAGTAGACTCATGGGTTTGCCCAGGATCTAAAAAAAAAAACCAAAAAACCAAAAACAAAACCAAACACAAAAACATCTGTAACATTATTTCTAGGGGAAAATGTGTTTTAGGTTCCAAACAGAAGACATAATACCCAAACTCTTACAAAGTTATTTTAAAACGAAGTCGGGGACAACACACAGCAGCAGTACATTAATACTGTAATAATCTTTAAGTAATAACTAATAACAATCTCTAAAGAATTAGCAAATTTCCTGTGATGTATGTCAAAAGCGAAACTTTTATTACTGAAGATCATAGCTCACTTTTATGTAATGATCTGCTTATAAATAACACTAGGATCACTGCTGACTAAGCAGTGGAAAGCTGTTACACAAAAGAAGGGTCAGATTTGTTCTCCTTTGCTCCAGAGGGCAGAATGGATAGAGTTTTGGTGAGGAAGATTTCATCCTGATATAAGCAAAAAGTCTGAAACACTCTGAACTATCCAAAATTGGAATAACTTGTTTGGGAAGTAGTTTCTCACTAAAGTGCTTCAAGGGAAAGTTGGAGGATTAATAGCAGTGAGAGCTAATAATAAATTGTCTAATTCAACCAATACTTTTTAGTGCTCATACCACTGGTTATTCCAATTTATGACCTATTATCCTTTCCCTTCTTTTATTTCTCACTTTTAAAATTAGTATTACAGATTTTTCTAGATGATGTACAAAAGTTGTCAATTACAGAAAAGTTTTTTAATTCTAAGATGTTTATCTTATTTATCAATTACTTACTTCTTTTGTGTGTTTACTTAATTATTGCACTTGATTTCAGGACCTGTAAGGCCTATATTTTTTAAACCTTATAGAATGCATCCTTGACAAACTGAGATACATAATAATATTATTCAAGCAGTAGAGAATCAAAATTATATTGATCGGGTAAACATTTATTAGCTATTAAAAAGTGACCAGACTTCCTTAAATAAGACATACTTACGAAACAAAAGGAATTTTTAGTATAGGATCTGCGTTGTCAACAGGAAGGCTTCCAGTTTTAAAATGAGGATTAAACTGTGTCAAATGATTTCGAAGAATGCCAACAGCCACTTGTGCATGAGGATCAAGACTAACTCTGAAAATGTTAGTGAGGAAATGATAAAATGGAGTAACTTGTTAAAAAGCAATAAGACTGACAAAAATATTTCAATCATATATACATGTACACAACATATTTAAATATTTTAAAGCAATAAACATACCTGAATATAATAACACTTCCTGGAGTTAAGTTTTCAAACTCTATTTCTTGAACATATTCATTAGGACCTTTTTTGGCAACTCCAGCTTGCTTCACAATTTTACTTTCATTAAGCTTAAAAAGAAATTAGTTAAACTTTCAAGTAAATCCATACTAATGTCATTAATATATTACATGTAATAACAGAAAGAAAAGTCATATATACCTGGATATGTTCTTTAATCTCTACTGTGATATTTGGCATTCCATTGATTGAATTCTCATCTTTTCTGTATGGACTTGTATTTCTTTCAACAGTTCTAGCCTCAAGAACAACTTCTTCAATTTTGCCTGAAAAAAAAAAATTACATTATTTTTCAGCTATAACATAACTTGGAAACAGCCATTTTTATTGTCTTTAAATTTTCTGAATTACAAGCATACAGTATTTTAGTTCCATTACAAGTTAAAAAGGAGCACTAAGAATTTGGAGATGAAAATGCAATAAAAATCACAGAACTGGAAGGACAGAAGGGCACTTAGAGGTAATCAAGTCAAATCCCTGATGCAATAAATGGATCTCCTCTGCACCTTTCAAGGTGCCATCCAGTCATGGATTGAATACTTCCAGTAACAGGGAACTCACTATCTCATAGAAGTAATCTACTTTGTTTTCAGATAGCTCAAATTGTTAAAATTTCTGAACTATTAACCCATCTTCTCAGGGGCTACAAATGAATTCCCTCTTCCACAGGATTGCTGCTTGAGATATCTGAAAATTAATCAGATTTATCTGTAGTCTCTGGGCTATTAATGACTAGTTCCTTTAACTTTTTCAAGACAGCTTTGAGTCCATTTATTACCTTAAAATACAGTGCTCTTGGTACACTATAGCCTGATTATCTTAAAATACTTCAAAACAGTCTTACCAGTACAAAGTACAGATGGATTATTGTTTCACTTTATTTGTAAACTGTGCTTTTATTAATGCCAATCAGTGTTAATAGTAGACACGAGTACAAATGTCAAATAGAATATAGTTGAGGGAAGACCCCTGGGAGTTTATCAGTAGAGACTTTCCTCCAGGTTGACATTAATGCGTTATTCAACATTTTTCAACCAACTATGAATCTGCTTATTTATACTATCATCCATACCACATTTTTCTATCTTTGTCCAAAAGGATATCACAAATTTTTTCTTATTCAGATAAACCACATTTATGGAATTTCCCTAATTCATTAGCCTAGTAATTGTTAAACAAGGAAGACCTGAATTTAGTGAACCTAACCTGGTTCCTAGTGATCTAATTCTCTAAGCTTTCATAAATTATCCACTTAATAAACCATCCCAGAATTCTTCTGGAAATTGATATTAAGCTTCTCAAATTATAATTTCTGGAATTAATCATTAAAACAAGTGGTAGTCATATGGGAGTCAATTGTATTTTATAAGGACACATTTTTAGAGGTACTTAAAAGTAAAAATTTCCCCATAGCATTTTTTCTTCATGAATTCACATAATATACTTTGGAAAAAGTCACCATTTATTAAACATTTAAAATCTTACAAATTCTATCAATGGCTGTGATGTGCAGAAAATACACATATTATTAGTTGCCTAAGCAGACTGTAACTATTTTAGTTCAGATGAGGCAGAGATCATCAGTGGGTTTTTAACTGGATTTTAAAGTATGTATATGAATAGATAGATCAGAGATACGAAATTCCAAGAGGCAGATGTGAACGAAGATAGAAAGGCATGACATCAGAAAGGATTTTTATTTTGATATTCTTTTTCAATGAACAAAAACAATCTATTTTTCTCTCCCCACCCCAGGCATGGCATTTTGAGGGAGTCTGTATACTAGTTCTGTTGAGGCAGAGGGACTGTATAGGGGACTAGGCAGTAAATGCAGGTTGGGGTAGATTACATATGGCTTTGAGTGCCAGGCTCAGGAGTCTGGGAATTTATCCTAATATACAATATGGATCACGGTTTTTGATCAAAGAGATGACATCATGAAATTGTGTAGAGGGGATTTTTGTTCAAGTACTGAAGACTCTGAGGTCCTTCACAACTCCGAGGTTCTGTTACACCTGATACTTACTGGTTGTGTGACCCTGGGTATGGCACTTCACCTTTCTAAGCCTCAGCTTCCTCATTTGTAAGATGGGAAAAATTATATTTGTAGGACCTATTTCACAGGATTCTTGTGAGGATCAAACATGATACTTTGCAACCTTTAAAATACCATATAAATGCTAGTTATTATTACTATAAGAACTATAAGTATGCCACTTTATTTATTGCCTTATATTATTCCTCAATGTCACCTTTGTTTCCTCAACTAGATTGGAAATTTCTTGAGGGTGGGTACTTTGTTTTATATTAGAACACTTTTCCAATGCTCCTAAATCCCTAAATTAGCACTGTTCTGGATATGAGTTAAAAAATTATTAAATACTTACTAATTAAAAAGATAGCTATAGTTTGGAAAGTTTGATATTGCCATTGTAACTTGATAAATGAGATTTGAAAAGTTGAATTGCTTCCCTTTGGTTGTTTTCTTAATAGTACTTTTTAAAAAAGATGGTAGAACGACATACTTATAAAAACACCCTGCCCCTAAAGGAGATAGATAATAACATAAAGAAGTAAAATTGACCTCAAAGGTCTCACTGATATGTGACAAGGTAAAATCAATGATTACAGAATGGCTCTGGATAGATTCTTATTCAAAAGAAACAGGATAGGTAAAGAGGAGTGTGAGGAAAGTCAAGATAGCATTAAGATGATATACTTAGGTGAGGAAATTCAGAAACCAGAAGAAGGAAATCATGGTGGAGAGAATTTGGGTGAAAACCAAAGGAAGAAGGAGAAATGCCTTTTTCATCAAATTATATTATAGACCTAAAGAGGAAATAGAGGAGATTGTGAAATAGATCACTAGCCTAGCATAGACACGCTACCTAGTAGTGATGGGAAACTTCAATTATCAAGGCATTTGCTGGACGTCTCTTTCTTCCAAAAGCAGTGCAATTAATAACTTCTTGACTTGCTTAATGAGAATTTGTTCCTTCAAAAAGTAGAGGGATAACAAATGGGGAATTCCATTCTGGGTCTCATTCTCAACAACAGGGAAGAATTGCTTGCAGGGGTAGATATGATGAGACCCTTATGGGGAAGTGACTACTCCCTAATACAGTTTCTGAAAGAAAAGAGGAAAACCAGGGAGTCTGACATGCACCCTAGATTTTGGAAAAACAGCTTTTAAAGAGTTCAGATGAGTAGGGAAGATCCTATAGACTAAACTTTTTAGAGGAAGCGAGTCCACGAGGGATGGGAAATTCTCAAGAATGAAATATTGAGCACACAGAAGGAAACAATTCTGACAAAAAGAAATACTGGAGTTGTCTAAAGAGACTAATGTGGATGCACAGAGAATATAGCAACCAATTAAAGATTTCAAAAAAAATATGTATAGAAGATGAAAGAGGAAGAAACATAAATACAAAGATAATGCATAATCTGTAAGACTAGTGTCAGGAGTGTTACACCTCAGAATAAGCTGAGGGTGGTGAAAAAAACTAAGGACAACAAAAAGGCTTTTTAATTTTAAAAATTGTATTAGGAGAAATAAAAGATCCAAAGAATAGACAGCACTGCTATTGGGGGGGTAGAAGACACAAAGACTACTGATGGAGATGTTCAACTCTTATTTTGTTTCTGTTTTCTAGGCCTAGGATTGTCAATGATATTTGAAAGATTGGTACACTCATGCAGGAATGAAAAAGGGTAAGTTGTCCTAATTTTCAAAAAAAGGAAGACAGTAGATTTTGCAAACTATAAAGTAGTGTCCTTAACTTCATGCGAAAATTCTGTAACAGATCATTTAAGAAACTGGTAATATCTAGAAAAGAAAGCAGTAATTAGAAATAAGCAGCATGGCTTCATCAAGAACAGACCATTCCAAACTATCCTTATTTCCTTTGCAATAGATTATTAAAGTAGTAGATAGCACTTTACATATAATATTCCATTTGATCCTTGGTCTAACTTTATGAAGTAGGTGCTTCTATGATTTCCATTTGTAAAAAGGAAGAAAAAGAAGCTGAGACAGGTTTTTACCCAGAGTCAGTCAGCATACCCAGTATGTCTTGAGTCAGAATCCAAAGTCAGGTCTTCCTAATCAAGCGCAGGACTTCATCAACTATGCTATGCAAAGTCTTACACGTGACTTTAAAAAAAAATCATAAGTGTAAAATACGGGAGGTGTGCTTGGACAGCAGAAAAAGACCTGAGGTAGTCTTATGCCTAACTTCAAGCTCAATGAGTCAGCAATGGGCTATCACAGTGAAAAAGCCCTGATATCTCGGGCTGAATTAAGAGGCTCAGAGTTCTCAGGAACCAGGTTATATTTCCAGTGTCCTCTGCCCTGGTCAGACTTCATCTGGAGTCCTGTGTTCAGTTGTAGGACCACAGTTTAGAAGGATCCATGATCCAGAGTAGGAAAGACAGGATAATAAATAACTGAATCACTGTGAAACAGAGATTGACTAAAAGAACTGGAGAGGTTTAACTCAGAGAAGAAAAGACTCACAGGTGAAATGATAGCTGTGTATCTGAAGAGCTATCATCCAGAGGACAAATAAGACTTGTTTACTTGGCTCCAAATGGCAGAACCAGAGCACCATGTGGAAGTTTCACAGAAATAAATTTAGGCTAATGTCGAGAAAAACTTCCTAACCCTCAGAGCTGTCTCAAAGTGGAATGGACTGCCATTGAAGGAATGGGTTTTCCCTTATTAGATGTCTTGGTAGAGAGGTTGGATGTCTACTTGTTGGATATGTTATAGTGGAGCCTCTTTTTCAGGTATGTGCTGGATTAAATCCCAGTCTGATTAAACCCCTTCCAACTCCAAAATTCTGTGCTATATAAATCCAAAGATAATAAAATAAATAAAAGTCTGGTGGCAAATCTGGAGTGAAGTAAAAGCCTAAGGGTGAAGTTCTCTAATGGAAAAATATTGCTGTAATTATTTAAACATATTATTAATTGTTATTTATTTATTTATTAATTATTTAAACACATTAAACATATTTAAACATAAACACAATTATTTAAACAACTTGAACTGTGTTACCTGGGATGCACATTTGAGGAACTTCTTTGCTGTAAAATGATGTCTTAGGATTCCTGAATGCAGTTCGAGACACAGCCACTACAGACTGATGGATACTAGGTGAGTGTCTTGTTACTGCTACTATGTCTTCATCAACTTGATCAACATACACCTGATTTTAAGTAAATAAAACAATAAATTATCTACTTTCCCAAGAAGTTTAGCCTTAGTGTAAATAAATCTTTTAAATTATAGCAATAATAGGGGCAGCTAGGTGGTGCAGTAGATAGAGCACTGGTCCTGGAGTCAGGACAACCTGAGTTCAAATCCAGCCTCAGACACTTGACACTTAACTAGCTATGTGACCCTGGGCAAGTCACTTAACCCAATTGCCTTGCAAAAACAAACAAATTATAGCAATAATCTAATTCTATACCTGAATAAAACCTTTAGCTCCAAGCTCTTGGTGTAACTTATTAATGGCCCGTCTTGCAGCAATAATTCCACTTTGGAGGTTAACTTCACTTGAATTTGAAGGAGATGCATGAGGATTCCACTTAGTATAAAACCTTTCTTCAGACACTACAGAAATCTACACAAAGGCAAAATATATATATATATATATTATATATATACACACACACACACACACATATATATATACATATACACACACATATATAGGTATACATTAAGAAAAATGATGACTCTTCAAAAATTAGAATTCAAGTTATCTCACAATAAGTGCAAAGCAAATACATGGTGTGAATATTAAAGAACATATCATTAAGAAATTAGAAGAGAAACAGATCACATAGTTTTTATTGCTATGGGTAGGAAATACATTCTTAACCTAACAAGGGATATAGCTAATTTCAAAAGATAGACAATTTTGATCACATGAAGCCGAAATGCTTTTGCCCAAATAAAATCAATGTCTTTAGGATAAAAAGAGAAGTTGTTGAATGGGAAAAATCTTTTTACCAAATTTCTTTCATAAGGGTTGGTATTCAAGATATACAGACAACTAACAAATATAAAAAACTAAAAATGAAAGCCATTTCTCAATGGAAAAGTGGTCAAACGATATGAACGAAGAATTCTCGAAGAAAATTGCAAATTATTAATAACCACAGAAAAGAATGCTCTGAATCCCTAATAAGAGAAATACAAATCTTAAGGTTTTTACTTCTCATCCAGCAAATTGGCAAAGATGGTAAAAGATGGAAATAGTCCATGTTGGAGGGGTTGTATAAAGATAGGAACACTAATACATTACTGGTGAAGCTGTGAATCAGTATAACCATTTTATAAAGCAACTGGAATTATGTGAATAAAATAACTAAAATGTTCTTAACTGTTGACCCAGATATTCCACTACTAGGCATATACCCCAAGGAGGTCACTGACAAAAAACACGAAAGGACCCATATACACCAAAATAGTAGCATTTTTTGTGATAGCAAAGAACTGGAAAGAATTTAGATGCCCATCAACTGCGGAATAACTAACCAAACAGTGGTACATAAATATAATGGGATGTTACCATGCCGTAAAAAATGAAAAAGAGAATACATAGGAGTTTGGAAAGACTTACATGAATTGATGGAAAATGAAACAAGTAGTGCCGAGAAAACAATACACACAATGACTATTAACAATCAACAATGTAAAAGGAAGGAACAATGGCCACAAAACAACTGAAAATGAATGTTGTAAAATTATAAAGAACAAGCTTGACCTTTAAATAAGAGATATAAATACACACCTTTCTCTACTCCTTTTTAGAGGTGGAAGGGATGACAACAAATGTGAAGCACTGAATATATTGTTATACTTTTTCTATGCACTGATCAAATTTACTGAATTTTTAAGGGATGTAAAAACAAAAGACAACAATAAAATTTGTTTTAAAAAAAGAATCACCATAAAAAGAATCAAGACAATTTATTATGCTAATATATTTATAAAATTGTATATTAAAATGAACACATACACACCTGATGAGGTACTAATTCATCATAGCCTCTAGCACTTCCACTAGCACAACAAGCCATGGAAACAATTGTGGAACTTGGGAGAGCATCATATGCTGACCGATGCTAGGGGAAAAAAGGTATTTTCTTTCAGAGCTATACACAGTGTCATCACAGAAAGATAACTGCACAACATTAAGGTTTCATATAGACTTTTTTTTTTTACCAATCAATTAGCAACATTTATTATAAGTACCCATTATGTCAATGTCACAAACCCTCAACAGTATCTGATGATCTGATCCTTTACAAATTTTGAAATCTAGAAAATCAGTTAACTACATATGACATTTAACAAAAACAACTTAACATAAGAAACAGATCAGATACTTACCACAATAGGACATTCATTATCGTGTGTAATATCCATGAACAGAGCATGTGCAATAGCAGGCATTAAAGGTCTCAAACATGGTTGAACAAAGGATCCAACAGGTTCTCCTCCATATCGGTAAACTAGTCTGCCCTCTTCATGACTATTATAAGCACTCATTGCCTCTGCAGTGAAAAAACACACACTGACAATTTGTTCAAGCAACTTTCAAGAAAATATTAATAATTCTCACTGCCAATATGAATACCATGCAGTCTACACGAAGAGTAAAACTACTTTAAGAGTAATCAAGGGTTTAGATTTTTAAAATAAACTTGAATATTTAACAGGTAGGAGATATGTTTACAAAATTTTACTGAAAATAAATGTTTCATATAAAGTGAATATTCTGCATTCATGAAAGATTTGGCTGCAAGGTGGCTAGTAAAAGAAACTCAAGGATACCACCAGGCTTCAAGGTGGGAGATATTTAAGAAAAGTCAAGCATTTTTTTTCAGCTACCAAATGATTTGGATCTTTTGTTTTAAATCATGTACATTCATAAATAATGAATCTCATTGATTGCTCCAAATGATCTTTCAATTTAAAACGAGGTACCTTATTCTATAGCAGGAATATGTTACTGAGGACATATTCCTACAATAAACTGTAAGCTTAATTCCAATTGTCCTTAGTCATTACTTTAAATAACTACAAGACCTTTTTATTTTAATTAACTGCATTACAACCTGCTAAGCAATGTGCATGACTAACAAATGCCTTTTCATCAACTAAACTAATAACATGCATGCTTTTTAGACCAAAAAAAAAAAATAATTACACTACAGCAAGCCTACCTCTTATTAAGGAGCTAATGCCCAGTCTAGTCACAAAGATATTGTCCAGCTCCTCACTTCCTGTGAACAGCTCAGCCACTACATACAAATTGGGCTGTAATTTCCTAGCAGCATCAAGCATATACTACAAAAAGCATGACCATAAAAGCAAGAGAAGCGGGTGAGTAGAGCAAGAAAAATAAAAAGAACATGAGACCAGGCATAGATTAGACACAGGGAATTGCCACGCAGCAGGACAAAACGGAAAGCCAAATGAATTTAAATATATGTATGTATGGAAATGACAAAGAAACCCAACACACACACAGCCAGTATGAGAATTAATCAATATATGCAGCCAAAGAAGAAAAAAAATTAGAATTTACAACAGACATAAGGATACAAGGGGAAAAAAAGAAAAAGAAAGAGAATGTTAGTGTCACATTGAAAAATATCAATCATAATGCCATCCTGCATGGCTTCCCATTGATTTTTATACCTCTAATCAGACTGGTAATTCCCAGGCGATTGACAAAGACATTGTCGAGGTACTCACTGCCCGTGAAGAGTTCAGCTATCACATAAAGATTAGGTCTGACTGACCTGGCTGCAGCCAGCATCTCCTACAGATTGTAATAAACTTTTAAAGTCTCTTAACAAACACAACCTGCACTTGTGCAGGGGCACACCTGAAGCTAGTGCGAGCCAGGTAGCTAATTCTAACCCAGTAATCAGTTATCAGGCTTCTGCAGGAAAACATTTACCAGAATACATGTAGAAAGGCTAATGAATACACTGAATTCTACTAACAAGTAATAAGGAGAACCCACATTCTAATCATGTATTAAGGGATTTAAAGTAGACTTTTGTAACAATTTCAAATTATAAGCAAAAAATTTAAGTTTTAATTATATGAACTGATGCGTACATACATACATACACACACATATACATACATATGTTTTTAGCACCATTATCAAGAGGCATCTTTATATGCTTCTCTTCTTTGAGGATATATCATAAAAATTCTTTATTAAAAATTTTTTTGGATTAGACTTGTGATTTCATTGGTGTGGAAAACTCGAGGTAAGGAATTCTCTCTTCTAATGCAGTCTGGCACCTTTTCTGCCAGTTACAGTCTTTAACTGTTGCCTGGGGACACTGAGAGGCTAAGTGACATGCCCTGGATTACACAACAAGTGTGGTTTAAGAAGTGGGACTTATATCCAGGCCTTCCTGACTCCAAGGACCACTCTCTATTCACTATACCACACTCTTTCCAGTAAAAAAAAAAAAGATAGTAGAAGTTAAGATTATGGATATACAAACCTCTAAATAATACTATACAAGTTAAAGTAATGGTTACTGGTGGGCTGCCAAAATATACATCAGCCTGCAGAAAAATGACAGGCTCCTAAGAATAGGTAAATACATAGGAAATTTGCAAAACTGCACTAGATGATAATAGCTAGCATTTATATAGTGCTTTAAGATTTGCAAAGTACTTCACAAATATTATTTCATTTTTATCTTTACAACCACCCTGAGAGGTATGTCATATTATTATCCCCATTTCACAGATGAGGAAATTGAGGCAGACAAAGGTTAAGTGACTTGTTTAGGGTCAGATAGCTAGTGTTTGGGGCAGGATTTGAATTCAGGTCTTCCTGATTACAGGCCCCATGCTCTACCCACTACCTAGCTGCCTTAACAGTTTCAAATGCTGGCTGTGGCTCAAGGGGACTTGCTAAAAGCCCAAAGCAGAAGGCAGACAATAGAACTATTAATGCTTATACTTATATTTACATGATAATAAGAAAATTAAGTCAGTATGACAATATAACTGGTTTCAAAATATGTTAGAATTACTGTTACAACTGATGGTCCTTCTTTATAAACAGTCAATCATCAAGAGATAGGACATCAGTTCCATTTTGAAATAGGTTCTACATTAAAACCCAAATAGAATTTAATATCTTAGTCATTTCATCTTACAGTGTTGTAGAAATATATTAAAAGAATAATTCTGGCTAGATATGAGATACATGTATGATATTAGGAAATTAATGGTGTGAAGATTAATGACCTTTATATTTTTTGTGGTGGCTATACTGACAAAAAAGGACCATCAATTCTGTTTAAGTCTTTTATTGGTACTGTTACAGTGTTTGCATATGTGTGTGTTTATATAAATACAAGCATACATAAAACTGTAACTCAACATATATATGCATATGTATATATATGTGTGTATACACACACACACACACACACACACATATATAATATATATAAAAGATGTCATTAGCATGGATACTCCCTCAACCAGTTAGACTGTGACTTGCTTATATCTCTTCAATCACTATTTAAACAACAAAATAACTCTTCAGTATTAAGTCAGAAATTTCCCCTTAGGAAAATCCAGGTGGGGAAAGAGGGAGAGACCTATATACTTGAATAAATATTGCAATGTAGAATATGCTACACAGTATTATAATGTTAAGAAAATGCTAAAAGCAACCTAGAAATATTCAACTAAAAATCAAGCATAAATTGCTAGTACTTAGCAAATTATCAACAAACTATATTGCTTAAGGATGTTTTTTCCTACTATTCAGAAGTTAAATTGAAAATATCAATTTGTAGACATTTTATAAAGTTACAATACTATCACAAAATCAACTAATAAACCAAGGTAAACAAAGTACCCAATCATTAAAAGCCAGCACATTATTTTTTGCTTTAAATATTTTTCCCCTAGTTTTCCTGAATTTTTTTTATAATAGATATGTTTTAGTTTCCTGTACCTCAGCTACATGAAGAGGCGTTGAGTGGCAGTTATCCAGGCGTACTCCCTGGAAATAAGTGGCAGTTATTTCAGTATATTTTTTCATGTGAGCCCAAAGGTATGGACAGTCTTCTGGTTTATTTCCATAGCGTAATTTCACACTGTCACCCCAGCAAATGAGCTCTCTCCTCAGATAAACTTCTGAACCTGTAAAAAAGAGAACTTGTTTTCATAAGTACAAAAATATGAATCAATCACCAATCACTTATTTGGTACTTACTATGTTCTAGGTACTGTGTTAAATGTTGGTGATTTTAAAAAAAAAAGCAGGGGCAGCTAGGTGGCACAGTGGATAGAACACTGGCCCTGAAGTCAGGAGGACCTGAGTTCAAATCCAGCCTCAGACCAAACAAACACTTGACACTTACTAGCTGTGTAACCCTGGGCAAGTCGCTTAACCCCAATTGCCTTAAAGAAAAAAAAAAGCAACACAGGTCTCTGTCCTCAAGGACTTTACTTTCTAATGAGGGAGATATTATGAACATAAGAGGTATAAAGAAGATATATACAACAATACAAGGTAACCCTTAGAGGAGAGGGCAGGTGGAGACAGGGAGAGGTCTCCTGAAAAAGATGGTGTTTAAACTGAGTCTTGAGGGAAGGCACAGATTCTAAGAGGCAGAGGGGGGAAGGGAGAATATTCAGAGCAGAAAGATAGTCAATAGAAAGTCATGGAGGGAAGAGATGAGATATTGTGTGTGAGGGACATTAAGAATGCCAGTTTGGCTGGCCTGTAGGGTATGTGGAGGGCAGTGATATGAAATAAAACTGGAAAGAGAATAACAAGCCAAGTTGTGAAGAGTTTTAATGCCAAAGTTTATATTTGAACCTAGGAGGTAATATGGAACCACTGGAATTAATTGAAAGTTTTGGGTAGGAGGAAGGGAGGTTATTTGTATGAGACTTGGTTGGACTTCTTTAGGAAAATCACTTTGGCAGTTCTGGGGATATTGACTACAATGGGTAAAGACTTGAGGCATCGAAACTGAATAGAAGACTATTCCAATAGTACAAGTGAGAGGTGATGAGGGGCAGAAATGGGATGGTGGATATATCAGTGATGAGGAGACTCAAAGGAGAGATAGAGGGGATAGAAACCACAAGATTTGGCAAATAACCAAAATGTTATGTGAGTGAGATTGAGGATGACACCAAATTTGGGAACCTAAGTGACTGAAAGGATGGTGGTGTCTTTGACAGTGATAATGAAGTTTAGAAGAGAGGAAGATTTAGAGGGAGAAGAGGTAGGAAGATAATGAGTCTTGTTTGGGTCATATTGAGTTTGATATATGCCTACAAGATATGCAGTTTGAAACATCTAACAGTTGGTGATATGAGACTATATGTCAAGAAAAAGACTAGAGATTGATACAGAGAACTGAGATTCATCTGCACAGAGGTGATAAATGAATCCATGGAAGCTAATGAGATCACCAAGAGTAATAATAATAATAATAATAATAATAATAATAAAGATGATGATGATGATATTTTTATATAGCATCTATGTGCCAGGCTCTGCCCTAAGTGCTTTACAAATATTATCTCATTTGATCCTTGTAACAACCCTGGGAGGTATATATTATTACTCCCATTTTACAATTGAAGAAACTGAGGCAAATAGAAATTTAAGTGACTTGCCCAGGACTACTCAGCTGGTAACTGTCTGAGGCCAAATTTGAACCCAGGTCTTTTTGACTCTAGGTTCAGCACTTTATGTAGTATACTACCTAGCTGCCCCAGGGAGAGAAATGGTAAGACCTCAATTTAATTCTTATACATGTCATGTTACTCTTTAATTAAAAAATCTTCAAAGGCTCCTCATTGCCTACTGAGTAAAGTTCAACTTCATCTCCCTGTCACTCAAGGTTGTCTTACCATGTGGTGCCATTGTACATATTTAGCTCTATCTCAACTCATACACTCTCCTCCTCACAGCCTGTACTCCAACCAGACTGGATTATTTTCTTCTTGCCTGCTAAATTCCGTCCTATCCTTTAACACCCAACTCAAATTTTTCCTCCTCTAGGAAGCCTTCTCAGACCTCATCTCCCATTGGTGATGATTTTTCATTACTGACTATAACACAAAAAGCTTTATTTTGTAATTCTTTAATGTGCTTAATACGTAACATTATGTATTATACTATTCCCCACTTAAATTATAACCTCTATGAAGGCAGAGATAATTTTATCTGAAAATATCTTCCCAAGTACTTAGCACATAGACTTGTATATGGATGGCATTTTAATACATGTTTTCTGAATCAATCAACAAACAACATTTATTAAGTTCCCACTATGTGCCAGGCATTGTGCTAAGTATTAGGGATAAAAGTACAAAGAATGAAACCATCTCTACTCACAAGGAACTTATAATGAGGGAGACAATGAGTACACACATAATTATTTACAGCATAACGAGTAGTTAAATAAAACCACTTTTGGAAGGAGTATACAAGCATTTGGTGGGAGGAGGGTCTCAAACAGAAAGGCTTCATATAGAAGACTGTGCTTGAGCTTCATCTTCATGGAAAAGAGGGATTCTATGAGGTGAAGGTTAAGGAGGGAGAATCCTATATGAGGAACAGAGAGAGGCCAGTTTGACTGAATCAGCATGCAGAAGGAGGAGTAATGTCCAATGAGGTTGAAAGGTAGTTTGGTTCCAGACTGTGAAGGGGTTTGAATGTATATTGATATGTTATGTTAGTATTATCTGGGATAAACAAAGGATCTGAGCATGAAATGAAAAATACATTTGAGTATGTATAGTACCTTTTCTTTGAATGATAAAAACATTTCATTGTTTTAACAACTTTATACCAGTGGAAAGAATCAGAATTCCAACTAATACATAAGAGAGACAATAAAAGGAGCAAAATTATGAAGGTAAGTAATAGTCACTGATTCAAAACTGGGAATAGCTGCATAGGCATGAACATGATATAAATCTACTCTAACCCCTAAATGTGTGTGTGTGTGTGTGTGTGTGTGTGTGTGTGTGTGTGTAGTTGAAGTTGTCAGAAATATAATATGGATCAATTCTTATATGAAGTTTCTAGGTTTTCCGGAGTCTATCATCATGCTCTAAATACAGGAAGTTCTTAACACACATTTAATGTTGTCTTTATGAGGTTGGTAGGTAAATAAACAGCCGACTATTATACAAAAAACATAAAGTAATATAGTCAAAACCCTGAGTTAAATAGGAGATCCATTCTTGAAAAACAGCTTTATAACTTACAATTATGTAACTGGAAACACTAAGTCTACAGAAAATTGAGGCTTAGGAGATATCCAGGTTATTTAACTTTAGTAAAATGTTTTAACATTTAATAACTTTATTAATTCCCAAACTAGATAGCTCACAAAATGAGAGAGAAAAGGATTGCTGAAGATGGTTAAGGAAAAGTAAGAAGTGTTGGGAAGTTGGCTCAGTCTCCCTTCTGTCTCTCAAACATAAAACAAGAAGGGAACTTGCTCTTTTGAAAATGGTGTCTAAAAGACAAGGAAGGGGCAGTTAGGTGGCACAGTGGATAGAGCACCAGCCTTGGATTCAGGAGGACCTGAGTTCAAATCTGGCCTTAGACACATAACACTTACTAGCTGTGTGACCCTGGACAAGTCACTTAACCCCATCCCACTGTCTAGTCAAAAAAAAAAAAAGAAAAGAAAAAGAGAAGGGAGTATACCCTGCTTCAAGACTACTCCTGGAAAACCTATGACAGAAGAAATTGATGGGTAAAAGGCACTGGCAGAATGGACAATGAATATAATTTTGATCACAAATATCTCAGGCTCATATTGCATGAATTGAAGATTAGTGGCTTTAAAGCAATGGAAAAAAATGCAAACACCACCCTGTTAAGCCTTATAACTATTTATAATTTACCCCAAATTAGTTAGAAATCGGAATGCCTAACACCTGAGATCTTTGAGAAGGTTAATTTTGTCTAAGATAGGAGATAGAAGGAAACTCTGAAACATGGAGACATTTAAGGAAATGGCTGGGTTGTGTGGAAAGTGGGAGTCTTTGAACAAAGAGAAGACAGCATGAAGCTACTAAGTACTATGTGGAAACAGTTAAGAAGTGAAAATGAGGTGAAGAAAGAAGGTTTGAAGGTGCAAAGGATAGGCTTTATCTATTTTGAAATTTTCTTTAGGGTTCTATGTGTATCAATTACTAGCTAAAAATCATCCTTAGGCTGCATTTGCAAATGCTTGGCACACGTGGCTTAGGTAGTTTGGTGGTACAGTGGATACAGTGGTGGACTTAAGAAAGTCCAGAAAGACCCTAGTTTAAATCTTGCCTAAGATACTAGGTTTGTGAGACTGGTCAAGTGACCTCTATCAGATTCAGTTTCCTCATCATCTATAAAATGAGGATTATAATAATACCTACTTCATGGGGTTGCTGTGAGGATCAAACAAGATAACACATAAAGTGCTTTGCAAACTTTAAAACCCTATGTAAATACTAGCTATTAGTATGCGTTGGTGACTTTCAATGCTCAATATACCACAAAAATGTAAAGGGAAATATTGTCTCAGTTGAAACAGTGGTTAAATTGAAGGTAAAATCAATATATTAAAGGAAAAAACCTCTAAAAATAATTCCTAGCTTGTATTATGAAAATTATATTCACATGTATAAATACCTGCAAGGTGCTTTTGTCAAAGAGTAAAAATATTTATCCTAATCATCCTTTAAGCAGTAGTACAACCCAAAGTAAAACAAATGAAACATATATTATTGAGCTGCAATAAAACTGTTCTTGGTTCCAACCATACATGTATAACAAAGGTATACCTGGTTCAGCAAAGTTTCGAAGAGGATCATCTCCCATTACCCAGCCATTATGTGCCATGAAGAAACAACTTTTATCTGGGCGATTAATAAAGGTTTCTTCTTCTGCAAGTGTCATTTCTCCAAATGGGAAAGTAAAGTATCTATGAAGATATAATTCAATATTAAGGCAAGGCAAAAATGAATTTAGGACAAAATTTTAAACAATCATTGTGAAAATTAAACTTTTCAGCCCTAAGAATGAATAAAATTAGTTTTCACATTATTTACAGGAAATAAATTTCAATCTAAATAACAGAGGAATTGTTTGGACATGTAGTACCTTGAGTTGGAGTTCAGAGTAAAAAAGATTAGGATAACTTTTCTTTTTTTTGTTCTGGATTTGTACTTTCATCAGCATAAGGAACTCCTAATCTGGACAATATGGAAATGGTAAATATAAGACTTACAGATGGGCCTGGGGCACAAAAAAATGACGTGATTCACTCATGGTCAGAAGTTAGTTTGTGTCTGAGGCAAAATCTGAATGCAAGGCTTCCTCAATCTAAGGCCAGATATGTCTCTCTGTCTGTCTGTCTGTATCTCTCAACAGAAGCTGACTTTTCTATATTATTCTGTGGTTGACAAAACACTTGGATCCTCATGACAATTCTGTGAAAGAGGTGATGAGAGTATTATCATCATTTTATAGATAAGAAAAGTCCAGGGTTCAATGGCTTTCCCAGGCCCCCACAGCTACTCAGGGCACAACTAGGGTTTGAACAAATGTCCCCTGACTCTAAATTCAATACTCTCACTTCTTCTGTCCACAATACTTTTGGACAAAAAAATCATGTAACTACTGAAAAATTATGCAGAGAAGGTATTAAGTAGCCTGGAAAGCAGTTACCCAGTTGTACAGTGAGTAATAAAACAAGGTTTTATTCTCTAAACATTTCTTTGGTTTATTCCTGCCACATAGGTTCTTCATTCCTGTTTCTATTTTGCTGAATGTCACTGTAATAAGCCACAAAACCACGCTGACTTGGTCTACTACAAATTTATGTTATCTGATCTCAATTAGGCTCTAATTCCAATCCTTTCACTCTTGCATGACTGATCCTATATCCTTCCCCACAGTGTCAATTATCAAATGAGATAATAATAATATTGCACGGTGCTTGGTACATAATAGGTACTTAATAAATGCATGTTCCCTCTATCCTAAACCATCTCTTCTCTAATAAGGTAACCTATAACACTATCTCCTCTCACCTTCTCAACAGGAGTACCTCCACCCAGACTTCACTGCAAAAAAATGAGGCTACTATACATTTCCTTTCTTGTTCAGCTCTACAATTCAAATAATCTTAGATTCATCATTACCCTCTCCTCCTTTTCTCCAGTCTCAATGGTGCCTATTTTTCCCTACCATTTCCAACCCTACTACTTGTGCCATTAATGCCCTCCTATCTCCTCTAAGAGTTTGCTCCTTTGATAATCAGATAATCTCCTCATTTCCTAATTATGAATTTCTCCTTATTCATCAACTCTTTCCCTGGTGAAAAACATGCCCCAACTTTAGAAACTTTCACTTGACTCTAACATCTCCTCAAGCTATTGTCCTATATCTTTTCCCTTTTCCCAACCAAAATTTCCCATAAAAAACTTGTCTACTAACTGCCTGCCAAACTATCACCTCCAATTCATTTCTCAACCCCTTGAAATACTACCCAGTTCAAAGTACTCTCTCTAAAGTCACCAATATCTTCATTGTTAAATCCAATGGACTTTTCCAAGTCCTCACAAAGCAATTAACTAACAAATACTTATTTTTATTTATTTTTCCAATTTTTAAAGTTTTATTTCAAGTTTTGAGTTCCAAATTCTATCCCTCCTCTCTCCTCTCCCCCCTCTCTGAGAAGACAAGCAGACATAGATTATACATGTGCAATTATATAAAACATTTCCATATTAGTTATTTTCTATCAGAAGACTTGAATAAAAGAAAAAAATGAAAGAAAGTAGAAAAATAGTGTGCTTCAGTCTGCATTGAATCAATATCAGTAATAAACATTTATGAAGCACCTACTATGCACCAGGCACAAGGCACTGGGGGTACCAACACAAAAGTGAACAACCCCAGCAACTCAAGGGACTTTCAGTATTTTATGGGGGACAACATGCATATAAATAAGCATATACAAAATAAGTTATCAGACAATTTTGTGAGGAGGCTATAGAATCTGAGGGGGAATCAAGAAAGGATATATGGAGAAGGTGGCACTTGAGCTAAGCTTTATGGATAACTAGGGATTCTATGGCAGCTAGGTGGCACAGTTGATAGAGCACTGGGACTACAGTCAGGAACACCTGAGTTCAAATTCTGCCTCAGATACTTACTAGCTGTATGACTCCAGGCAAATCACTTAACCCTGGTTTGCCTCAGTTTCCTCATCTGTAAAATGAGCTGGAGAAGGAAATAGCAAACTACTCCAATACCTTTGCCAAGAAAATTCCAAATGGGGTCATGAAGAGTTGGACACAACTGAGACAACTGAATAATGACAACAAAAGGATTCTAAGACACAGCGATGAGGAGGGAGTACCTTACAGGCATAGGAGAGACTGTGGATAAAGACACAGAAAGGTGATTGGTTGCTACATATGAAAAACAGCAAGATGACTAGTAGGGCTGGACTGTAAGGGACATCAAGGAGAATAATGTGTAAGAGTGGAAAGGCAGATTAGAACCGAGTTGTGAAGGGCTGGCTTTAAGAGTCCAAAAAAGAAGTTTACATTTACTCTTAGAGATAACAGAGAGCCACTGGAGTTTACTGAGGATGTGAGTGACATGCTTTAGGAATATAATATGATAAAATAATAATATTACTATATAATAAAACATAATATTATATAATATAATATTAATATAACAAATATAATAAAGCATGAGTCTTATTCTTTAGGGATATGACTGGCAGCTGTATCAAGAATAGACTGGAATGGGGAGAGACCTGAGACAGGGATGCCAATAAAAAAACTACTTCAACAATTCAGGCAAGGGACTGAGACCATGAATTAAGGTTGTTGCAGGGGTACGAGAAGATCTGAGAGACACTGTGGAGGTGGAATTGACAAGAACTGGCAAGTAACTGAATATGTGGAATGAGGAAAAGTGAACAGTTGAAAGAAGTTGTGAGGTTACAAAAATATGGGTGACTTGAAGCACACAGTAGGTACTTAATCAGTGCTCACTACATTATTAGGAAATGAAAAGAAATATATTTCAGGCCTAAAGAACCATAAGACCTCTCTTAACACTGTCTTTTGTATTTAGATAACCAGGAAGCTACGTTAATGACTTGAACCTTAGTCCCCTGGACCAATTAAGTCTCAAGAACAATTTCATTACCTTTTAAGGAAAAAATTGGTCTAGCATGTGTGGGACAGATATGGCTTCTATGACACAAAAGTATAAGACAAGAAGATCAGGGGAATGACATGGACATGGTACATTTCTATTTCAGTAAGACATCTGACAAAGTCTCTCATAATATTCTTATGGACGAGATGAAGAGACACAGACCACGTGTTTGGACATTACTGATAGACTGATCACTTGGAGGCAAGTCTGTAGTATTTTATTCCTAACGCCATTTTAGAATTGTTTTCCTCAATATTTTTAAACCATGACTTAAGTGAAGGTATTGATAGCATGTTTATCAAATCTGTCAATGGAAAAAGTTGGGAGGGATAACTAATGATGGAATTGGGATCCAAATGATTAGTTGGCACAACTGGCAGAAGCCAACACACAAATTCTTTCCTAAGTAACATATATTTTGGGGTAACTGAGTTTTATTGTTTCTGGTTCTCCCTTGTCTAATCTGTTCCACTGATCTACTTCTGTGTTTTTTCTTTTCTTTCTTTTTTTTGTGTGTGAGGCAATCTGGATTAAGTGACCTGTCCAGGGCCACACAGCTAGGAAGTGTCAAGTATCTGAGGCCACATTTGAACTCAGATCCTCCTGACTCCAGGGCTGGTGCTCTATCCATTGCACCACCTAGCTGCTCTTTCTTCTGTTTTTTTTTAACAACCAATCCCAAAAGGTTTTCATAACTGGTGCTTTATAATACAGTTTGAGATCTGGAATGACTATTCTCCCTTCATTCTCAATTTTTTTCATTATTTTCTTTGATATTACAGATTTTTAATTTCTCCAAATGAATTTCATCATTTAATTGAGTTCTATAAAGTATCCCTTTGATAGTTTAATTGGTATAGCATTAAAACTGTAGATTATCAATGATGTTAACGTCATTTTTATTATGGCATGACCTAACCCTGAGTACTAAATATTCCTCCAGCTATTTAAGTTGGTCTTTATTTCTTTAACTTTGTAACTATATCTATATAAGTCTTTTGTTTGCTTTGGTAAACTGATCCCCAGATATTTTATGTATTTTGTAAATATTTAGAAGAATTTATAGCAACATAAAGAAAAGCAATTTTAAAAGACTTTTAAGAATTCTGTTCAATGAAATATGATCGACCAAGTCTTCAGACATCTCCTGACAGAGATGTAATGGATACAAGATATACACAAACATTTTTGGACACTGCAACTGTATGGATTCATTTTGCTGGACTATGCTCATTTTTAACAAGGATTTTTCCTTTTCCTTTCTTTCTCTCTGTTTTTAATGAGGGGAAGAAGGGCAGCAATAGTGATGCCAAAAAAAAAAGGGGGCCACTAAAACTTTGTTTTTTTGAAACTTTTAAAAAATGCATAGAAAACAGAAAAAAATCCAGCATAAGGGAACACAGACAAGTAGAATAGTTTTGGAAGTAATGAGCAGAATTTATCTACTTTAAAAATTATGAAATGGGAATTCATGGTTTCATAAAGAACCCTCTTTTTGTGTTCCTATGTATAGAGATTCTCTTTTTGGTATGTAAGTTCAAAATAATGAAAAAAAGAAAGATTGTAAATAATCTCTACAAACTTATCTCAGGTTCCTAACATTTTGTACCACTTTCACCATCACATTAATTGGTAAGAATATAGTACAAGTTGTATGTGCACATTCACGTGCGTGCACACACACACACACCCAGAAACACATACAAAACTGCATGGTAATAAAATTTAGTGAATAAGGAAATGTATTTTTAGCACTAACAACAATAGTTTCAAAGTTGTTCAGCACTAAGAATCAAAAATTAATTAGTAGCTTTGTAGTTTTTAGAAATCACAATATAAATAGTACTCATTAATAAAATTAATAAAAGATATGTTACCAAACTTAACACACAGGCCAATACTAAATGTTTTCTAAATTATTTCTAGTTCAATTATTAAAATCCACACTTAAAATATTTAAGTACATTTGAAAAGTAAATATGACTATAAAGTTTTTAAGTGCAATTCAAAGAGACAAAAAGAAAAATAGAATACCTGGTAACTAGAGGATGTTTTCTAGTAACAGGACCTAATTTAGGACCATGGCCAGCCAGTCGTTCATAAAACACATTTCCCAAAATACAATTAACTGCCTGAAAGTCATTAAAGTTTATGTTACTTCAGAAAAAAAAGAAACAGTAATAAAATTCAAAGAAAGAAACAAAACAGCAATAAATAAATGAAACCTGTTCTTGATGGTAGTTTATTTGTCGAAGTTTCTCTGCATTTAATTCGTCAATTCTTTTACGGAACCAGTTGCAGCACTCATCAATTGCAGCTGGTCCACTGCTAAATGAGATACAATATAATAATTATTATTTAATGAGTTTATGAAATAACTACATGAAACAATACTTCTGGTATGAATAATACATAGTTATAACCTGCGTGCCCTTTGGAGTTGCATAACAGATCCTCGACAACTCATAGATAGCATACAGATGAGGTGCCATCCCTGAGAAAAGGGATGGAGTCAAGGATCCTTGGGCATATAGCCTGAGAGAATGATAGAATGACACTGATAGCATACTTATGAGGGGAACACATATATGATAAGTTTGTCTTGGCCAAAATGATGGCTTAGCTAAATGGATAGGGATTACATTTTAATTAGGAGGCTTAGATGAAAACTACTTTTTTTTGTCAGTTAACTTTTAGAATACTTTGAATTTTTGTGCACGTTTTAAGCTTAATCATTTCCCCTATAATTATCAAACCCTTACTAAAGAATTTAACTAAATGTTAAACTATAAAGTTTAAGCCTAAAAGGGGAAAGTGCGATGAGGTGCTGAGTTACGGGGAATTCAAAGGAAAAACTTACAGGTAAAATGAGGATGTGAAAGGCAACTACAGTAGGGTAATCAGATCAGCACAGCACTATGACCCTAGAATGAGTCTAGGACTCAAATCCCCTGGGAGGTATGAGATCAATAAAATCCCATAAAATTTATTACCCAACTAATTTAAAGGTCTCTGAAAATTCACAAATATTACTAAGACAGCTATTTCACAGGAAAAATAGAGCTACATACTTATGTGGTATGAAAGTAGCTAAAGCAATGTTCATATCTACAGTACAACCAAGTCGTTTGTATTCTGGGTCCTGAGTAATCTTAAGAAGCTGCTTTGGGTCAGATTTTGTTATTGTTTTCCTGTTTTCTGAAAGAACAAGAAAATAACAAAAGATTAAAATCCACAACTACATAAGTAAGCCTTTTGAAATCTTCATTTCACAATTCTTAGTTGCAAAAATACAAATTTAGGTTTTCAAACATCCCTGAAATTATACTGATTGATAGTCTCATAGAGAAGTATATTTATGAAATTTCTTTAAGTTTGGAACTGTCTTTTACCTTGTGTAAGAAGGGCTCTAAATTGTTGCACTGCTTTGTTAACATCCACTTGAAAAAATTCCCAGAGCTGAATCTTGGGATAAATATCCTCCCAAACTATTTTTCGAATACTCTGAAAAAGTACAAAGAAAAAGACTACAGAAAACTTCTCAGGGAATAATAATCAAAAAAAAAAAAAAAATGCAAACATGTGTCATAGGCAGTACCAATTCCAAACTATGTTACAACAAATAGTTTACTTTGTTCTGTTACAAATTGTGTTACTATGTTTTCAGTTAGGTGTATCTTTAGACATACTAACATTCATTTGCTGGTCATTTTCAATCAAAGCAGGTAGTCCTTTTTCTTTGTATTTTCCTTCTGAAACATCACATGTTAAGTGCCAAAGTGCCCTGTCCAGGAGCCAAGCTGGCTTCAGGTGTGGAGAATTCACTAGATTGTATGCACATTCCGGATGCTCCTGAATCCATTTACTATTGGCAGCTTACAGAAAAGGGAAACAAAAAAGGGAAAGCTTATAACAAAATTAGCTTTTATTGGTTTCTACATGTTACCTCTTAAGAGTTACATAAACTATTACTGCTTGAAAGTGAGATGGCACAGTAGGTAGAACTCAGAGTCAGCTGTCAGGAAGACCTGAGTTCAAATGTGACCTTAGACATTTACTAGCGGTGTGACTCTGGGCAAGTCATTTAATCTAGTTTGCCTCACCTTCCTCCTTTGTAAAAAGAAGCTGCAGAAGGAAATCATGAACCACTTCAGTATCTTGCCAAGAAAACCTCAAATGGTGTCATGAAGAGCTGGACACAAACGACTGAACAATAACAACAAACTACTATTACCCTTTAAAAATATTACACATTGAATTTTCCATAGGTAATCCAAAGTGGAAAACCTGATACTATGCAAGTATTGCCCATGAAATCATCTATTTTACACAGATGATCTTCATGGTAAAAATGTATTTGTAACAATTAAAGTCATTTGTATATTTAATGCAGTGGCACACGATTTTACTACCAAATACTGAAAAAGGTCTTTAGTAAGATGAACAATGAGACTGGCAAAGTGCTAGTTAAAAGAAATATGATCAAAGAAGAACAAGGGTAAAAGTTATACTTCATGAACCATTTATAATAATAAAATGCTAACTTTAAAGTGAACAAACATTTTCATTTTTATATAAAATCAAATTGTATATCCTGAAACAACCAAATGTGGTTAAAGGCAAAAAGTATGAATGCAATTCCTGGACCAGGGGTGGGGAACCTGTGTCCTCAAGGCCACACGGGGCCCTCTTGGTCCTCAACTGTGGCCCTCTGACTGAATCCAAACTTCACAGACCAAATCCCCTTAGTAAAAGAATTTGTTCTGTAAAACTTGAACTCAGTCAAAAGAGCTGCTATCTATCTATCTATATATGTGTGTGTATATATGTCTTTTTCCTTTTTTTTTTCAATCTCTTTTGGGATACATACCTAGTGGTGGTATTGCTAGGTCAAAGGGTATGCATGGTTTTATAGTCCTTTAGGCATAGTTTCAAATTGCTCTAGAGAATGGTTGAGGACTTCTGCTTCCGGGAGCCAAGATGGCAGAGTAAAAAGGTAGTCACTCTCACCCTCCCCTATCAACCTCTGAAAACCCAGAAAATATCACCTCAGAAAAAACCCTGGAACAGCTGAACCAAAAGAAAGACGGGGTGCAGCACTGCAGTAGCCCAGGTAGCTAGAGGGATTAACGGGAAAGGTCCCTCTTACCCTGGGGGAAGGGGAGAAGTACAAAACAGGAGTCACCCAGCCAGCTAATGGAAAGACCCACTTTAGCACACCAGGAGGAGATTCTGGTGCCTTGGCATTCTACAGCAAACGGGTCTCCCAGTACCTCAGCAAAAATAAGGGAAGCACTACAAAGGGCCCCAGACGGATAAGCACCTGGCAGCATTCATCTGAAAGGAGCTGAAGAAAGCAACCTAGAGGTGCCAAAAAGTTCCAGCCTTGTTGATTCCAGCCCAACACCAGGTAAGCTGTCAGAACCCTACAGCCTCCAACTGCCAACCAGGAGGAGATCCTGAAGCCCAGGTGGTCTAGCAGGCAAACACCAACAGCTGTACCTCCAAGTGCCTCAGTGAGGGTGGGGTAACTGGTGGAAACCAGCTCAGAAAACCACCAGGTGCCTCAGCATTCTACAGCAAAGAAGTCTCCCAGTGCCTCAACAGAAATAAGGGAGGCAGCACTGCAAGGGGCCCCAGGCAGATAAACACCTGGCAGCTCTTATCTAAAAGGAGCTAAACAAAGCTAAAGGAAAGGAAAAGCAGGCAACTTAGATTTGCCTGAAAGTCCCAGCCTTGCTGATCTCAGCCCAACACCAGGTAAGCTGCCAGAACCCTACAGCCTCCAATTGCCAACATAAGAGGCCCCAGCACACAAAGCCAGGGACCAAAACCTAGGCTCCCATCACAAGAGGCTTGGGTCAGTGCCCTCTGCTCCCCAGCAGGAGAGCTTATTCTCTGTAAAGGCCAGGGAATAAAGAAACACATGAGTAAAAAGAAATGTACGATAGATTCATATTATGAGAAGAGTGAGAGCAAGACAGAAATTCTGAAGAGGACAACACTGTCATCAAACCCACATCTGCAACATCAAAGGGAATATGAACTGGTCTGAAGCCCAAAAAGACTTCTTAGAAGAACTCAAGAAGGATTTTAAAAGCCAAATGAGAGAGGTAGAGGAGTCCTTTAAAAGTACAATTGGCCAACTGAAAAAAAAGTACACTGAAGAAAATGAGTCCTTAAAACACACAATTGTCCAGTTGGAAAAAAAGTACAATGAAGAAAATAAATGCCTTAAAAATACAATTGACCAATTGGAGAAGAAAGCACAAAATCTAACAGAGAATGGCTGAATCAGTTCAAAACTCCACCAACAGTGTATTAATGTCTCATTTTTCCCACATCCTCTTCAACATTTGTCATTTAACTTTGCTGTCCTATTAGCAACCTAATAGATATGAGGCAATACCTCTTAATTTAACTTTCCAGTCTTACATTACTTCCCTTCATGGCCCATAGCCATTTTCCAGCTAACCTGGAATATGGTTTCTTCAAATCTATATTCTATCTCTCTTGTCCACGAATTCACTGAAGCCAACTCCCAAGCCTGTCTCCTAACAAAATAAAACCTTCATTGTTGTAAGGCACCTCAAATGTCAACAAGTCAAACCTGTATGAGGGAAAGAATCCCTTCAGCAACATACCCAAAAAGTGTTTTTCAGCAGCCTTTGTGTGAAGGTACTAAGTGAAAGGGAATCCACTAACTCCTAAGGCAGTCCATTCCATTTAGGAATAGCTCTAATTGTTATGAAGACTTTCTTTTTATCAAGTCTTAATCTTCCTTTTGGCAATCTGAATCTATTGTTCCTAGGTAGGATCAATGGGGCCAACCAAAACAAGCTTAATCACTCAGTGATTAAAGAAGATAAAAATCTTCAAACTCTAGAAAACAGTGGTCAGAACTTTCTCTGGGTTAGTTCCTATCCTCAACCTCCTATGACATAATCCTTGAAGATCTTTTACCCTTGTCAAACACTGGATGCTCTCTACTTTATAAATGTCCTTTCTAAAACATGGCACTCATAAATGAATGAGATATCCCAGATATGATGAGAGTACATTGGGACTATCACTTCTTTAGCCAGGGACACTATGCCCTCTTCAGTGCAGCCTAAGATCATATTAGCTTTTTTTGGCTACCACATTACACTACTGTCTCATACTGAGCTTGGAGTCCACTAAAGCCCCCAGATCTTTTTCAGATAAACTGTGACCAAGTCAAGTGTCTCCAATAATGAGTTGATTTTTTCCCTCAAATATAAAATTTCACATTTTCCTCATTAAGATTCAACTTTTAATATTAAACCTAATAGTTTTGGCAAAAAATTTTTTTGGATCCTTACTATGTTATCAAATGTGTTAGCTACCCCTTCCAGTTTTACAATAAAGCTGCCAATTATATCTTTATTCAAGTTATTAACAAAACTATTAATCAACACAATGCCAAGCAAAAATCCCCAAGGCACTACAATGGGGATGTCCTTTCCAGTAAATAGCAAACTACAATTCTAAATCCACTTAAACTATATTATCATTTAGCCTATATCTCTTTATTCTTTCGACAAGAATATCATTAGAGATGCTGTCAAATGCTTTAATAAAACCTAGGTAAACTACATATTCATCATTCTCAGTCTAGCAGTCTACTAATTTAATTCCATTTCATTCAATCAGTATTAAGCACCTAGCATGGGCAAGGAACTGTGTTAAGTACTGGGGATACAGAGACAAAAATAATTCCTTTCTTTTAGTTTACATTGTCAAAGAAGAAAAATGAAGTTGGTCTAACATAACTTGATCTCAATGAAATCAATGCTCTGTGATGTCCTTCTCTCCTACTGCCTCCATTCATTAATCACCCTTTTGATATGCTCTAGAATTCTGCTACCAAATTGAAGTCAAGTTCACTGGCTGATAGTTTGCAGACTACATTTTCTCTTTGTCTTTGGAAAATCAGAAAATTTACCCTTCTCCAGTTCTGTGGTGCCTATTCCCTTCTCTATGATCTTTCCCACATCACTGGCAATGACTTAATCACATCTGCCAATTCTTTTATTAAAAAAAGACTTTTAAATTATTTTTTTTTCCAATAAAAAACCCACTTTTTCTCCTCCTTACACTTTTATTTAGTTCTGAAGGGGGAGGTTGAGGTCCCCCATCAGTACAGTTTTGCTGTCTGTTTCTTCCTGTAACTCATTTAACTTCTCATCTAAGAATGTGGATGCACTTGGTACATGTTTAGTATTGATATTAGTTTATTGTCTATGGTACCTTTCAGCAAGATAGTTTCCTTCCTTATTTCTTTTAATTAGATCTATTTTTGATTTTGCTTTGTCTGAAATCAGGATTGCTACTTTGGCTTTTTTCACTTCAGCTGAAGCATAATATATTCTGTTCCAGTGTTTTACTTTTACTCTATGTGTATCTCTCTGCTCCAAATGTAATTCTTGTAAATAACAGACTCTAGGACTCTGGTTTTTAGTCCACTCTGCTATCTACTTCCATTTTATGAGAGTTCATCCCATTCACATTAATAGTTATGATTACTATTTCCCTCCATTCTATTTTTCCTTATTTATACGTTTCTCTCTCCTTTCACCCTGTCCCTTCTCACCAGTGTTTTGCTTCTGACCACTGCCTACCTCAATCTGCCCTCCCTTCTATCAGCCCCCCTCTCCTTTTTCTTTCCCCTTTCTCTTCCTACTTCCCTACAGGGTAAGACAAATTTCTATACCCTACTGACTGTGTATATTATTCCCTCTTTGAGTCAAATGAAATGAGAGTAAGGTTCAAATAATGCTCACCCCATCACTTCTTTCCCTATAGTCTTCTGACCTCTTCATGTGATGTCTTTTACCCTATTCTGCCTCCCTCT